GTTCAGATGGTGCCCGGGATAAATCGTCAATCTACAATTCATTAGCGCCCACATACAAATTTAAACGCAGTTCAGATCTGTTTGGCTGTCTGGACACGTTCTTCTTGTTCAATTAATTTTATTCTCTCACAGAGAGACTAAACATTTCATATTGTGAACACTTTTGACCAGTATTGATAAATCATATCAAAAGGAAGATACAGCATATATTGTAATAAATATATAAAAAGTGAGCTGTGTGTTATCACGCTTTGTAGAATAAATGCAAAAATACAATGCTGTCGCGTACACGACACCCACCACTAATTACAATTGAATGTAGAGATTGCTTGCAATTGGATTTCAGAAGCAGACTTAATGCGTAGTAGCATTGAATAAAGTATTGTTAGGTATATCTTACATGACACCTTTCACTATTGAATGGCGTGATGCTTTTGGTTATGTACCATACGATAATGTAATTTTTTTACAATGTTTAGTTGGCCTTTCTTCTATGAGGATTTATCAATAAAAATATTAAACACAACATAATTTATAATTTCTTAAATGGAAATGTATGCCGTTTTTGAATAATTCTATGTGATTCAATTAGGATCACCCAAAATCAATCTGAACACAGACCCTATTTCGTTTCGCTTTTTATAGTTCAAAATTTCGTTTTACTTGTCTTTACTACACTAGGATGAGGAAGAGTTGTTATATTACCGGCGTTTTGGTGGAAGTGGGGGATAAGCCAATGAAACGGTCTGTTACGGCAACTTCTTGGCGTGCCATGCACGGAACTGTCGGTAAACCACTAGAAACGCCACCGCGCATTGATTAATCAATGTCTGATGTCATAGGGTCAAAAGCCGCTCGTACGACCCCTGACACGATCTTCGAGTACAACTTGTCAGATCTTCATGTAGTGTAGCCCATCGAAAGTATAAAAAAACGAAACGAAATGTAGATCTATATTTTAATCAGATTGACTCAAAATGGGATTTTCGTCCTCTGACGGATTTTACTGCTGTTAGTCGATGTTACACGAATTCACCCATTGACTATCGGTATGGTTCGATTGTTCTGGAAGGGTCAAGTCAATCTACCTTTTCATTTGTTGTGCATTACAGCTTTACCAAAATCATTCAATCGGAACAGATATTATACACGTAGTACTTAATGAAGTCGCGAACAATAACTAATAATTTCCTATTGCCCAATATGGTTCCGACACTGGTGGTTGAAGACTACATATAATAGTATATTAATATACAGTTCATAATCCTAGTCCTGTTATATAGTCTTTTGTGTCATTAATACAAAATCCATTGTTAACTTATTAGGTTAAGGGATTAGCCCCCATAGCACGTTTAGCTAATCTCTTCCAAGTAATGATATCTTAACATATAATAATAAGTCGTTAAGGTTTTGTCGAACTTTTGGAAATATTTTTTAGAGATTAATAATATGTAAGCAGAATAACATCTAGTTAGAGCGCGGAGGTGTTTTCAACATTTATGGGTAAAGCATAACTGTAATTTGATTTAGGATAATCAGTTTGGAATTTGGTGAAGAACTATGTGTTATTTATGAAAAGATCCAGTTCGCCTTCCTGATCACCATTTTCTTTGGATGTTAAATCTATCAATTTATCAAGGGGTAAGTTAAAAGCACGTTAATTTATGAAATTGTATTTAATAATTAATTCACCATTCAATTTTTTTTATTAGCGTGTTCCACAAACAATTCATGGTTTCTTTTTAGTTTTGTTGGTATAATAAACATAAGTTATAGGTTTGAGCAATGTTAACATACAATGGCGTTAATGGCCTTTGTCCGGGTTTTTGTCATTGCACACGCTCCGCTTGGAGTAAGAAAATTTAGACACCCCCCCACCCCCGGATCTGCGCTTTGTAATATAGCTTTGACATCAAATGATATTTTGGTCCAGAATTCTACTTCGTCTTGTGTGGACATAATATACTGCAGTGTGCACACTATTGTTTACTGATGTTACAATTTTTAATGGTAATGAAGGAACAACGAATTAGCCAATTTGTAGATGCTTATATGAAATAAAATAAAATGGCGTTTAATATACTATCGGCAAAATGGCGGAGATTTTGCCAGGACAGCGGCGTCTTCGCCTATCAGGAGTTGGGGAGCCAATGCCATACTCACCGAGCATCGTATGTCTTATTAGTTTTGATTGTATATAAACACTTCTATCTATTTTTTGGTTCGACGAGAGTCCCGTATAGGCTATGTCTTTACCTCAATCGACCCCCAGCACAAGTAAAAAAATATGTTAAAGATGAAGCTTCGCTATTTATTATAATTAACAAAATGCCCATTTTTAATGATCTTTTCCTATATTTTCAGAGAGAATAACTTACAATGGATAATTACAAGCTAGGCCCCGGATCTGTGTATCTACCGTCATTTCCGGTAACATTTCCGGTTAAATCTCCATCTAGACCTGGATCGGCGCGATCCATAATGTCGGAACAGGTATTGGAAACACCAAAACAACAAGACAATAAACCAAGATTATTGAATACTGTTGTTTTTGAACAAGAACTGGACGGAATTGTTCGTCGCTTATCAAGACCAACCATATCAACTAGACTTAAATCTGCAAAGTACCGACCCCAGGTGAAATTTGTAGGCATGGACTATTATCGCTGGAATCAAATGGCTAATTTCTGCGAGCACCATGGCATGCTTTACACTAACCAAGGGGCTGTAAGACAAACTTTCAAGAAAACAACAAAAAGACCAGCCACCGTAGCGCCATCACAATACAGACTCCCTTTACCCATGTCCGTATGGTAGAACTTATGGTTTTACTTTTGTTAAACTTTTGGTCAATTTAGACCTACTTAAACTGTGCCAATTTCTCTCGTTGAAAATTATCAGAATTCTTATTTATTTTGAGAAACAAATCAGATCATTTTACTGTATTAACGGCATTTGAAGGCATCTAAACGAAGTAATCCTTTATTTGTAAAACTGGGATGATTATTATCTGATCGATACGGCATGGCCCGTTCTTGAAATATCATTACATCACATTCACAGTCCCGCCATTTATTCGTAAAAGTAACTAAGCCTATTATCGGTTACAAAGCTTGAAACGTTGTCATTAATTTCGGCAAAGAAATCATTTGTAATTTTACATCATCGACTTCGTCGTCGACAACCTGAAATAATTTGGGTACATGGAGATGGATGAAATTTCGAAGTGAGTGAAAAAATGACTTCCGCTCCCATGTGTGCTAACCTTATGTTTCAATGTATTCGCAGGGTAGTAATTGTCTTTACTTTCGATTTCGATTATTTCATAATTGTTTTACCCTTTAATGCGAACCGAAACAACTCTTATAAGATATAACAAAATGCTAATATTGCTGAAGAATAAAATACTTTATTTGTATGAACAATTTCTAGCCCATCGGACAAACGGCCCAATATGGCATGTTATAAACCCCTGTCCGTCGTCCGTTCGTCATCTGGTAACCTTTCACATTTTCGACTGTCACAAGTATATAAATAATGATAAATGTATCATTTGTACTCGATTAAATTTAATGCGATATAATGTCGATAGTAATGGTAATGGTACAGATGATACTAGCTAGCATTAACATCTGTCTGTTCAAACATTTAAAATAGCCACCTCTGGGTTTTATATATGGGACAGTTCCAAATATTAGAGGACACAAAGATGTGACGATATAGTTTATTTACTATAATTGAAATTAAAATATAGACTCGATCATGAGATTATTATTTTGGAGAGAAGTTTTTTGTAAGTTTGTGTAACTTTTGCCCGATCCGTTCACTTTAAAGTTAGAAATTATATTAAAACTATTAAACACGCATGTATAAGTGAGAAGAGAGAAGATTATTTTAAAGAAGGCAATGATTCGTTGTCGTACATCGATACCCCCTCCCCCCCCCCCCTCCCAAATAAAAAAAAAGAAAAAATGAAATGACGTTTAACGTATTAATGAGATAAATTTAATTATGGCTTTCTCTTATATCGAATTCCAGCTGCACGCCAATGTGTACATGGGGCCTCGGTTTTTCGTCCCATTAGACGACGATAGGTATCCCTTGCCAGACCCTCAGTCATGCACCACTGGCAAGGGGGGACCACGCCGGAAAATACCGATAAACTTTCTTGGCCAACTCCTGGATCGAACACGGACACCAGGTTAGCGAGCTTGCGCAGATAGAAATTTGTGATCAAAGAGAGCGTTTCTTTTTCAGTTGAGTTTTCTTGTGGTCTGGTTGGTCATTCCACAAATTTCACATACAATGTCGTTCTTATAAAATATTTTTTGGGAATTACTAAATACCAACCGCTATTTTAAAATCGGCTGATTTAGATTATGAAAACTTCGGATTGGTCAGCGCGTGTTTAATTCGTATTCACTTTAAGGCTAATTAATATTTCAATGGCCAAACTTAAACATACATTATGCAAGAGCTAAATCTGTCAATTGCCTGTCTTTATTTAAGCCTGAAATGTTATCTAACTTATTAATTAGACATTAATTAACTTATCCAGACCATAATCAACTCTCGATGACATCACGAGCCTGCGATAATTACTGGATTAGAACCCGGTCTGCTGCTTCTGGTTAAATCAAAAACTGGATAATCGAGACTATGGGGTGGGGGGGGGCATCCAGGGTCTTGCTTGTTCTTTTAACGATTTTATTTCTAGGGAAGGTTCAAATTAGATCCATTGCAAATTATTGGTGTACCACTTCCTTGCCACCCAGCGTCTTCGTGTCTGTGCCATATCCGTTTACTTTAAACAGAATGCTTACTTTAAATAAATGAATGTATTAGTATTATGATATCACGTTTATGTTGCCTTGATCTTATATTTATGTATCTTGGGCGAAATCAACCAGTCAATGAAACAATGAAATGACAAACATAACTTCAAATCACACACTGTACGCCTTGTCGATATAACTTTTATTTCAAACCGATTAGAAAGAGAATAACAATCATTGAACGTGTTTGTTGGATTACATTGAATCATTGAACTAGTCGTTACCTTCAAATCGCGGATGATTCAGCAATATATTTCCTTATTCGCTCAAAACAAATAAAGAGTAAAAATATTTTTAAAAATTGTATTTAAATGAAAATATTAACATTAAATAACATATTTAAACAAAGATAGCCAAAGCGTAGAAATACGCCCACATAGTCGCTTTGTTTCAACTGAAGCTTAACTGAAAAGAAAATACTTGGATCTTGAGCAAATTAATTGATAACTCCGGAACGAAAAGTCAAAGGATTCTTTATTTTATAATAGGACTCATCCTTTGTTAAAGACAATAGCTTCTATCGCCTTAACAGGTTTTTTTTTGACAAGAGGGGATAACCTCAGAAACTGAATATCAATGGGGTTCATCCTTTCGTGACCCCAAATGCTTCCTAGCAATTTTGAAAAATCCGTTAAAACTAAGGTATCTATCGCGTTCACAAGATTCCCGTCAAAGGAGGGATAACTATGTAAACATAGTTCATCCACTCATGACAATAATGTTTCACACCAAATTTGAAGAGAATCCGTCGAAAACGGTTGCCTCTATCGCTCGCGTTCCAAGATCTACGGAAAAGGGGCATACCTCTGGTATGACAGGTCGCAGAACGTTGAATATCGATAGGGTTAGGGTTCGTACTCTAGTGATCACAATGCTTCACATCAAATTTGAAAAGAATCCGTCAAAAACTGTTGCCTCTATTGCGTTCACAAGCCAAATGTTGACGGACTGACCGACGGACAGGGTGACTACATAATACATCCATACTGAAACAGTTTACAATAAATATTATACAAGAATAAAACAAAACATCACAGAACGTTGCTGGTTGTGATTTAGTGTGGGCGTATCCTGATTGTAAGCACTTCATTGTTTTAGTGTTTATTGGTGTTCAGTGAGATCAGCGGCGTAGATAATTGAATCATCGAGATTATTAAAGAGTCAGTCCAGATATATTTTAGTAAATAAATCTGGTAAATTAGTCGCAAAAAACTCTTCCAAAGATTTATAATCGTCGTGTGTAACGACCAAAGTTGTGTGGTAATTTTTGGAAAAAATACAAACTTTCAATTTTAATGTGTCCCAAATTCTCTGGATACAAAGTTATGGTGGTAACCAATAGTCTTGATTATCAAGTCACTCATAGAATTGAAGAATGAAATTCCTTAAATGAATTACATATTCCGTTAAACTAATCCAGGAATCGTTATTTCTAAACGACGCAATATCTTGTCAGTCACGGTAAATAGACCATATCGTCAGATTTTGCCATTTAATTTACATACGAACTGCCGCTTTTATTTACGATGTCCTTTAAGTGAGATTTACATTACTCACCGATGCAATTGGGCAAACAAGGCACCTGACTTGATTTGTTTTCAAACCTCAAGAAGAATACTTATAGATCACAAGTAACTTCAATAAAACAATGTAAAATGTTCGATTTACGTGTAGTAAGTTTTCCGATGCTTTCTGAAACAGTGTCGCGGTTTCATTCAGTGGACGAGTGCTAGTTATTTCATGTTTTTAGAAGCGGTGCAAAAAATACTCAAGTAATGACAGTTGGTAGACAATTGTCGCTATTAATAATAACCTTGGAAGAAAAATAATATAACAAAAGTTAAAATTGAACATAACATATAACGCTCGATTCTTAAGGAAACTGCTACGCCTTTAGTGCATTCTAATTTATCCTCCTCTTTCTCCTCCTCCTCGAGTCCCGAATATTCAAAATTTCCACAAGTAGGAAAACCTTTGGGTTTCCTTGGCATCTCATCTTTAGATCCAACTTGTATTATTAATCCCATTCCAATTTCTACATGAAATTCTATGTGGCAATGGAAAAACCATACTCCTGCAAAGTAATCGTTTAAGATATATGTGTACAGCGCTAATATACTCTTGCAAATGAATGAACTAGTTTTAGAAACAATAAAGCATACATTGGCTCCCGACAGACTCCCTTCACCACTTTACATCTAAAAGGAGAGATGGTTTAAAACTTGATTTCCGAATCAAAATTGATTGGCATAAATAAGTAATTCCTAATTTCAGACAGTTAATAGACTAACTACAACTAGCTATGATAAATTTCCCAGATAAAGCAATGGCTGTATATAATGTCCCACCAATTACATGTGTATGGATACTGTACCTGGATTATCGGCATAAAATCTAATAACAGTATAACCACCATCTGGTACAGTTACTGAATCTTTACTAACAGCTTTACTTAATTTTCTCTTGATAAAACCTCCTTCATCTAGAGCTTTAACTTCTTCTAATGATGTGGTTGTGTTTAACTAGAATACACATTACTTAATTTTCAAACGCATCAGTAAACGTTTTTTTGTGGTTATTAGAATTACCTTTTGAACATCTAATAACAGTAAAAATGAGGCATCTATACTTTCTATAAAAGAAAGAGCGGGGTTAAATGTCCCTGGAAGCGGACGTAAAATACAACTAACTAACAATAAATGTCCCTTCAGACATCATTTGGAGTTCCTAGGGAAGACATTATGAGGGCTTCCTAGAGAGATATACCGTTAGCAGCCTCGGCTTACAGACCGGGCTACCCACATCATACAGGGTTCTTAGGACGTACTCTCAGCCTTTGGTTCGAAGCCGGGATAGATAGTGTTTCAGCCGTTAGGGCTGAGTTCTGGACTTGTCATGTTCAGACTGTAGATATTATAATAACTCATACTGTACTATCATAGATGTTGTAGTTTTCCGTATTTCATATATAAATATAGTTTTAAAAACACGTTGTTCTGGAGTTAATTGATTATATACACAGCGTAGACGTCCGTGTTAATTCATCGATTTAACAACACTGTACTGTCACAAGTCTACCAGAAACCGCATTGAAATCTGATGTTGGCTACACAGGTTGCTCGACTATATGATGATAACATGATATGGTCTTGATAACATTTCGAATTGACAGATGGCGGCGAAAGAAGAGTAGAACGATGGTAACTTTTAAAGGTGCAAAAGAGACGAGACAAAGACATTGTTCCACCCGTTTGACTTTGCCTAGCCACAAAAATGAACAAGGAAAAATCCAAGACAAAGAAAAATAAGCCCATAAACAGAAAATTTACACGGGGTTATAAAAATTGTTTGCAGACGAGTTATGACGACAATATTAATGATCCCATAAATAAATCCCAGGTTTAATGGGGCTATAAACAAAAGGGTAAATGCAGAAATTTAAAACAATATTCCGCTAAATATCGATCGTGGGCGCAGCTGACAAAGGCAATAACCCTGAGCGTGTCTTGTTTAACAACCCAAGCAAAATTTTCAAAACTTCTGACCTTACCTTCCCTATAGCGACGACACGGAAGGAATGTCCATGTAGATGAGTTGGATGATTGGCATTAAATGTAACACCTTCATCTAACATTATTATTTCTACAGTATCATATAAATCTACTTGTAATCTGTGTACACACTGACAAAATTCCTTTCTACAGTTCTTTTGTATCGTATCTGTATTACAATACATATCCTTAAAAAATAAAAACAAAAAACATATGTGACCAAATAAGAACACCAAAGCTATTAAATTTTTGTGTGTTTCAAAAAACATGGCTTATTTTTGAGTGTCGGGGTGTGTGGGTGGGGTTATAACGTGTGTATGGATGGGAGAAGGGGTATGCACAAATAATACTACAAAAGTTTGTTGTACACCAACTAAGTACACCAAAACCACGCGTAGAAAATATTTTAAAAAATTAATCTCACAAGAAACCATCGAATATAAACTCAAACCCCCCCCCCCCTCCGCCCCCACCTCCACCAAAAAAAGAGACAACACCAGGGGCGGATCCAGGAATTTTTGCAGGAGGGGGTTTGCCAGGTTCATGAGAAACTGTATCCCCCACCCCCCCCCCCCCCTCGGCTTGAAATTTTTTGCATGGTCTCTATCGTCATTTTGGCGTATATACATACACATTGATCTTTTTAAAGGGACAATAACACTCTTGCTGGCTTGACAGCTCCAGAAAATAAATAATAGCTTTATTCTAAGTACTAGATGCTTAAGTGTCCTACCTGTTGTGTAAATTATCCATTACATCCTATTTTACTTGTCCAGAGGGTTCGAAAATATTTTTAAATCTAAGTCACATTTGAAAAGGTTTACGTTAGGCTTTTCAAATCATTTAGTTGAATTTTTCCAATTTTTTAAATTAGGTGTGTTAAGATGAAATTTGTATCACCAATTAATTGGAATATTGTAAAATAGTCAATTTTTATTATGAATTAATACGATGACATTGTGATTCAATTTTATTGATGCAAAGCATTAATTGTGATATCACATATGTCTATATCATTATTTCGCGCTTTGAGTGCCCATCCTGTCGCACCATCTGACGATAAAGGATAAAGCACAATTATGACTCTTTTCTCATAAAAAAGGTTGTTTTACAAAACATTTTATGTAGCTGAGCAGCCCCCCCCCCACCCCTGGACTCGCGTCTGAATACATACCTCCGGTATATCATCAAACTGTGTTAGTGGTGGTGCGTGTGGCAGCATATTCGAAATACCATTTATTTGTGGTGAATAAAGACGCTTCTCCTTAACAATAGATAACATTGGGTAGAGATCTGGATGATGGAAATGGAAATTGTTGATTGGGTTAAAATCAAAGGCTAGGTAAAACTTCTTATCTGGCTTTTCTTTCATGGAGTCGTCATCTGGGACCAACGCTGTTAGTTCAGAAACTGGTATTTTACTTTCTGTTCCGGCTTCGTTCCATGGATTCAGCAGCTAAATTATATAATAATAATAATAATAATAATAATAATAAAATAATAATAATAATAATAATAATAATAATAAAAACTTTATTCAATGATACGGTGACTAATTTAGGTCCGCTCAGTCACTGCGGCTTTGGATGGGTTGTAAAAAGGAACAAATGAATATCTTTATTCTGCAAGTTTATCATTAAATAATGCACAACAATATACAGATTAAAACATCGGTTGAGACATGTCCAATTGTATTATCTCGAGCGCTCGACTTAGTATCTCGAGAGCTTGACTTAATAATCTCAAGCGCTCGACTTAACTGTTAATTATCTCGAGCGCTCGACTTAGTATCTCCGGTGCTCGTCTTAGTATCTCGAACGCTCGAGATATTATTATTTTTTTTTTTTGCGTGTCCTAAATCAGCCACCGTATGCAACCCTAAGCTACGAAGACATATATACATGTAATATCAGGATAAATTCAAAATCATTTGAAAAATGCAATAGCATTTTGAAGTGAGAAGTTTGGGTTAGTAAGCCACTCCTTGGCTTACATTAAACATACATTATGCAAGAGCTAAATCTGTCTATTCGTTAGGCCTGAAATGTTATCTAAATTATTAATTAGACATTAATTAACCTATCGAGACCATAATCAGCTCTAGATGGCATCACTAGCCTGCGATCTTAAGTGGATTATGAGCCGATTTACTGCGTAACTTTCCTTCACGATTTAACGATTAAATGGATAATCGAGACTATGCTGTTTATCGTACTGACTTTAGTAATGATGATAGAGGCTAGGTGGAAATTTCAAAAGCTTAGTTTTCGGTTCATAGTGGATCAATTTGAATGAAATTTTCAGCAAATTGCCTTTACATTATCTAATTTTTAACTATTATAGTGCGAACTGCCAACTCGTTATCGAATCTCCCATAATGTATCTTTAAATGTTAAAAGGGATTTGTATTGTTTCAAACAGTGTTGTTATGAACATGCGTAATAAAATAAAATACAATCGGCCCTAACCAATGATCACAGGGCAAGATCTAACGGATTGATCAAGGAAGGAATTATTAGTGAGCAGAAATTCGGCCGTATATCCGTTATCACTCGTCACATCAGTCAGTTATATAGAGAGATGACTCGTGTTTTCCTTTGGCGTTCGTCACTTCCGACTCAGGAAACCTGTATTACTCAGCTATCGTAGCAATGATGTGTTAAAATTATATTTGGAATGTGTTTAACCAGCTCTATCACATATGTGATAATGACTGGCACCAATATTGTCCTTTAACTCATGTTTCATATTCACGAGGCGCTCGTGATCGCCATATTAATTTTCACCTACTTTTACTTTTTTTTGTTTTCTATCGCTGCAAATGTCTGCCCACAGTTCTGCGTGCTAGACGACAAGAATTCGACCCAACAGACCACTTGATTGGCTAATCTCTCAAACAGCAGGATGCACGTTATTTAACAACTCTTCCACATCCTAGTGTAGCGAAGACGAGTAAAGCAACATTTTTAACTATAAGAAACGAAACGAAATAGGAATCTTTGAGATCTTTGGGATATAAACACGTTCTTCTTGTATGTTTTGTCGAAATTGTGTAAAGAGTCCGCAAACAAAATGTTAACGGGTGGACGTCCTGACGAACTGTAACCTCCAAACGTGATATTTCGTACAATCAGGGGCAATAATCAGATACGTGCGGATAGGTGCCAATATCGAAAGGAGCCGAGATGTTTGGGGATGTAAACATATAGTTTAAGTTTCGTCAAAATCGGAAAAAAATTGTGACCTGTAGAGTTCCGCAAACAAATGTGAACGGAAGTCCAGACGTCTGGATGGACAGGGCGACGACATAATACGTCCACATACAAATCCTGCACTTTATTCGCCAAATACCTTGACCTATTAACCAGCATCGACCTTTATTCAACAGATGGAACATATTTTAGCTCGTTTTTACCATGGTCATGGTGTTACGACATTTCTTTCTATCAATAACAATAATGTTAATAAAAACTCACCCTTCCACCTCTCACTGAGCTATCGTAGTCTGTTGCACCCGTAGGGGCTTCCTCTAGACTCCCGTTATATCTAACAATGGCTAAAGCCTGTCCACGCTTCTGGTCTGCACCACAGTCTGCCAATCCACGAACTCTAAACCAATAATTTCCAATAGTTTTATTCGTAGCGAGTATAAAATCGTATCTTTCTCCAGCAAATATATTGAAAGAATCCACTACAATGGGGTCAAAGGGTTTTCCATCACTGGCTATAATTATCATCGGGTGGTCATCTACGGAAACTTGAAGTGGACAGTTGAGGATACCATTGCTGACAACTCGGAAGCGATATCGTTTGTTTGGTTCAACATAAAATATTTCTTGTGAAGTTTTGTAGATCTGACCAGACTCATCACCATATGTGAAATTTTTGAAAGCAGCTTTACCTTAAATACAATTTACAATCATTGATATTTCGTATACATTTGAAACTTTTTATCTCCAAACCACAACAAATGTAGTAACATTTATGTTTAGCAACACACAATGTTTATTATGTCACTAATAAATACTAATATAATGCAATACTTCTGTATGTAACATATAAATGATGTCAAAAAAAGAGAATAAAACGCGAATGGAGCTCCTTGCATTTTGATTTGTGTATGCAATTTAAATTTGATTTGAAAAACAACCAAAATAGAGTATCTTCAAATGGATAACAGAATAAATTGCTAGCGAACAATACAGGAAACGTATAGAATATTTTAAGAATCTGGGCTTGATTTTAAATGAATTTATCTTCTTCTTAAACACACATTCTTTATCGCCACATTATACCATACTCCTAATGCAATGGCCCAAGAAATCCCTCTTTAGCCATTGCTGTATTGAGACTGAAATCTCTCCTGAGTAAAATTTGGGAATTTTCATGACATATCCGGGGTGACATGTTGGTTAGTGCTGATTTCAAAATAAATTTTACCCTTGGGTGCATCGGGAACAAACATCGATACCTCGCATAGGTGAATTTGGCCTTCGCTGAAACTCGCTATTGGAACGAAAATTCTTTGACTCAAATCTCCGATATAAATTCTATAAACGCTTCTGTTTGTAGCAATTGTTACTGCTCCCTTTAAGTATTCGATTATTCGATAATATTTATCCATTTTTGTGAAGAAAATCCATCAATTATTTATTTTATCAAAAAAGTAGTACATGTCGTATTTCTATCTAGTTTGTTGAACCACAATACGCAGCATGACAGTCTTTCCCTTTGGTCTGCTGTATGGTCCAAGAGATGATAAAAAGATTCCACTTGCGCGGCGATTACCAAATGTTTACCACGCAATTAGCTTCTCTGCAATATTCACGCGTTCTGGCGTAATGTAGCGGCGTTTATCACACTTTACGGTAAGAGCTCTGGACCAGTCATAATTTGGGACAGAAATTTGCGCTAAGTATAGAAATGTTTAAGTATGCATTTATACCAGCTATTCATAAATTTATGTTGTATCCGGTAGCTCTTAAATACGTATATGGATAATGGGATATTAATTGTTTGAATGGCTGACACTTACCAACTAAGTGAATTTATGTTACCTTCTAAAGAGACATAAAATAACAATAAAGCAAGTTTAATTTTCTTATCACAATCTAAAGTGTTTAAGAATGTCGGGAAGTAGAAATAGAGTATATCAAATTGGTGACCTTCCACCTACCATTTATGATCATTAATCTGGGTTTGTTGTCACCGTCACTATGGTGATGCTCGGCAAATCGATCAATTGTTAGTTGATTTAACCAATCATTGACCATTACAGTATGTTCAGCAAGATCTTCATCATATAGCGAAAAATGGACTTCTCTACTTGGTGGTTGACGTACAACCAAATGACCAAATACTCCATCTGCTCTTTGCACTCCAGCATGAGCATGCCAAAAATGTGTTCCAGCGTTTGCAGCTTTAAATCTGAAACGTATATATTTTTCATGTAAAGTTATCAAATAATACGGCATTGGTTAAGCTAGTTATCCGACTGTATATGTGAGCCAATATATACATTGAGAATGCTTTCACCAATCCATCACAAAAATCAATTTCGACTACTTGCTAACAATTCTTTGCGGTTTCGTGCATAAAGTAAATGAATGAGATCGTGGCACTAAAATACTAACTGGTACTTTGACGACAAAATTTCGATATTCGCTCTTGTTTTTCAAATTTTGAACGATGAATCGAAAACAAAAATAATAAATTAAAGCAACAATCGAATTATGCTATGTAAATGTGGAACAGCAGTAGATACTTAATACCCCGTGTTTTGCTGCTTAGAATCATCATAAAAAATAGAGTTTCTTAAACAGTTGTTTGATCTTATTCGGGCTGTTTGTTTATATTAGTTTTCACTGAAATATTACCTGTATTGAAATGTAGAATGTGTTGGTATAGGGCACTGTGTTAACATCGGAACACCATCCATCCATTGAGAACCTTTCTGATAAATACCATGCCAATGTATAGTCGTGCCTTCATTTGTTTCTAACTGGTTCTTTACATTAACAACTATCATATCATTTTCACAAACCTAATAGATGCATAATTTAGAAAAGAATTATAACATAATTCAAAGGGCAATCATGTTAATTTAGATTAATATATTAAACAGGCATTATGTAAGAGCTAAATCTGCCTATTGCATGTCTTTCTTTGGAACTTAAATCTATATAAATAAAACCAAAGCATGTATGTATGTATGTATGTATGTATGTATGTATGTATGTATGTGTTCACGGGTTCATGCTGGTTAATTTGATACCACATATGTGAGGGGTGGAGCGAACACCCTGACATACATATATACATAGATGCATGCACGTAGGTGGGTATGTGTGTGTGTGGGTGTGTGTGTGTGGGTGTGTGCGGGTGTGTGTCTGTGTGTGTGTTCGCTCCACACCCACATATGTGTTATCAAATGAACCCGTGAATGTTTTGGGCCATCGAATGGCCTCGGGCGAATGACGCTTCGTCGCTGCTCTCCACACCCACATAATATGTGGTATCAAATTAACCAGCAGGACCCCGCCATATAATTTAGTCCCCGGACGAATTGGGTCCCTGGCGAATTTGGGTCCTTAACGAATTTGGGTCCCGGGCAATTTGGACCCAGGACGAATTTGGGCCCTGGGCCCCGAGGGAATTGGGCCCCGGGCAAAGCTGGGTACTAGTGTTATATAAATTATTAATTAGAGATTTATTAACATGACAAAATCATAATCAACTCTCGATGCCATCGGATAGCTCCGATTTTAAGTAGATTAGAACGGTTCGGCCATTTAATAATTTAATTTAAAATGGAGAAGTGAGGCTTAAACTCGAATGACCAGTATGGTGGTTACAATCAATGCACACATCTTGTCAAAACTAAAATCATTGATACCATTGCTCAAAATAAAGTAATTTGAATTAAATTTTCAATATATTCAAATTGCATTATCTATTTTTGCAATATTAAAGCGACAATGACCAGCTCTTTATCTAACTCCAACATAATGCCCCTTTAAATGAGCGGCGCAAAAATCCAAGATTCCCTCATGTAGATATTGAAATAAATCTATAAAGACGCTTGATTATTTGGTGGAGATTGGGCGGAGGCATTTCTCTAGTGTTGGTCACATAATCACAAAGAAAAATGAATAAACCATTATGCTAATCTGAAAATGACAGAACTATTTCGGGTACTAGACGTTATTTTGCTTACCTGTTCTTGCCGAGATATTTAGCAATGTTATACACAACCCCACCCTTGCATTAATTCCTTTTTGTGGAAAAAAATAGTGGATTAGATCTTGGTCAAGGCAATCAAACTTAAGCCAAACCCATACAGTGTTACTTACATGTATTCCTGGACCAGGTAACATTCTATTTACAACAACTACAGATCGTGGAACTCCATCAGCTGATATACAATGTGGTCTATTACAATCTGTTATATTTCTAGGACAATCATAACATGCTTTACTCAATGTATAATAATATTCTAGAGTAAAGTTATATATACATGTCATTATTTCTCCACCATCTTCACAAGCTCGTGCACATTTATGATCTTTATAACCTGAAACAGAATTCGTAAAAGATCACTAGTTCAAAGATCGCAGTGAAACGATGGGGGTTGAGGGGACTCTTAAGTTCACTATTCCAACTGACTCACTATTCCCATTGAACAAATTGTCATTTCTTTTTTATGCCACGTTGTACACGTTTAGGTTGAAAGAAGCACCCAAGTCTTTTAACAGGGTGAAAGACGTTCTAATCTGGCCCGAACGGTATAATATATACTGTTTCTTAATGTCCTTACTGGCGATTATTCATTGATTTTAGACCATGAACACTTCACAGCATAATGTATTCTGGAACCGATTCTCATACGTTTACATGATTTAAATGATTTATCTTATTAAATTTTTACAAATAAAGAAAAATTGAAATACCCGAATAGTCCACCGCTCCTTGCAATAATCCAAGTTGTGATATTATTGTTAGAAATAAAATTACTGAAGTCATATTGTATTATGTTAGAAATAGACGTCCTCTTCTTGTCTCTGACCGTTCAAGTGTTTTATAACAATTTGGTGTCGGTTCATATCCCCAATGACATCCTGCAACTTGATCCTTGTCAAGAAATAGTCATTACGGACTCTGTTTTAATAATGTTGACCCTTTCAATTATTATTATTATTATTATTATTATTACGATACTAGACTCATGTTGACAATATCTTAACTTTATGTATCTTGAAGATACTGTGTACCATTGGCGTATGCGGTGACACGAACCGTTTGTAATTGATATTAACACAATATATACAAGATACCAGAATTACTATTAAAGCATATAATATAATACAATATAAAAGATAAACTTAAAGATAAAGTTCTTATTTAAATATATATATCTCTCTTGTTACAAGGAAATTAAATAAAATAAAATAATTAAAGCGTAAAACTGAGTAAAGTCCAGACAATTGAGTAATAAACCCCAGTTTTAGATGTTTATAAAGAGACCATGACATTTTGGAGTAAAAATATAATTGTGATAAATTTATGAATTGTTTCTATTTCGTTCTTTCAATAGTTCATTCGTTCAGTATTCATTCATTCAATTAAACATTTCTATTATTCTTATTATGTCTCTGTTAATCCACCATTTTAATTAGACGTTAAGCTACTAATCTTATGACAGACGGTTGACAGCTGACACATTAACAAGTTCAATTACTATCTTATTGTTTTATTTTATTGCAATGCCTGTTATATTTTAATCTTTCCTCGTTAATTGTTAATTGTTATTAGTAGCCTTGGTGTATATTGTTAATTCCTTAGATACCATTTTATTATAAATACCGATTTGTACATTTATATAGTATTCACCAGCTCGTTTGGAAAATACCTGCCAAGCGGGGAACGGGGAATAAGCAGGAAACTGCCCAACAGCTGTTCGGCGTACACTGCAGAGATTGTGGCCATTTGTGACGCTATATCATGGATCTCCTATCAAAAGACTAGTAAATTCGTCATTCCAAGCGACTCTCTCAGCAGTCTGATTTCAATCCAAAATGACAACTCGGACTCAAGACCAGAAGTCATTTTGGAAATCAGACCAGACAGCTATACCAGAAGGTCCTAGAGAAGGGAAGCAAACTAGAGCTCGTGTGGATTCCATCACATGTGGGCATCAGAGGAAACGAGGAGGCAGATCGGCTGGCCAACGAAGGTCTCACTGACACAGCACCACTCCGCACCATAGATTACAGCACCACGGAAATCTACAGTATGGTAAAAAGACAGGTCAATTCAATCTGGGAACTGAAGCTCGTTGAACTTGACACATACAGATTCCGGCTGGATGACCAGATCTACACGAAGATCAATCACCCTAGAAGAGATATAATATTATGTAAGCTTATATCGAAACAAAGGGTGAAAGAGCGGCTACGTGAATTCAAACACCAAGTCATCGTCTGTGAGTGCGGAGAAGAATGTACCACCAATGTCCTGGTAGACTGTGAAACATACAAGGAAGAGAGAAGGGAACTAGTGGGGATTATGGAGACCAACAACATACCACACAACACTAAAAACCTACTTTTCCCGAGACCAGAACTGAAGCTGCAAATCTTCGAACTAATCCACGATCTGATGACCACGGTTGGATTAAGTAGAATAGTGAAGTAAGAGGGGGGCACGGTTAGACAGGCTCGGCATCTAAACACTAAACTACAAAGGGAAGATATACCAAATCGGCAGGATAGTGGAGTAAGGGGGAGTCACGACCAGACGGACTCGGCATCTAAACACTAAACCGCTAAAATGACATCAAACCTGCAGAGTGGGATAGTGGAGTAAGGGGAGATCACGATAAGACGGGTCTGGCACCTAAACACTAATCCCACAAAGACGACATCTACCAATCCAGAAAAGAAATCGACTACCAAACATTACGTTTTGTTTCTTGTATTCAATAAAAGGATGAACATCCAACTAAACCTACTCCATATCCTAAGGCCGCAAAAGGAAAGATTGCAAAATCATATTCTAAAAACAGGAAGAAGCTTCGGCTTTCCTATGCCTTGTCTGCGATATCACTTCTGTGGAAGCGGACGTTAAAACACCAGATAGTAGTAGTAGTTATATAGTATTCTAGGTTTCATCCCGTTTCCAGGACAGTTACTCTGCTTGTCGAACGTGCTGTTCTCCGTATATGATGTTTAATGTTTCCGGTAATAAATAGTTTCAAGGTTAGTTCAAGTCTTTAGTTATTACCGAAGATTCTCACTGCTACAGACATATCAGATATATTTCAGTTTGTGTATCTGGAACTGGGAATCTCAATTCGATATTTAGACAGCCATGAAAGCATGTAAAAGCAATATAAGTTATCGGTTATACTATTGTGACCTCATAACTCTTAGAGTGTATCGCGTTCACAAGCCGATTTTGTACAGTCGAAGATATAGAAGGCAATACAGCAACAGTTATATATTCATTTAGTTTATACTGAAACTTACTAATATGGGTTCATAAGGACAATTACCGTGAAAATTGTTGTATGTAATAGAATCGAAATACCTGAATAATTGTCCAATCCTTCAGCATAATTGAAAACAATGGTCACATAAACAAAATATAAAGCAACTCTCATCACTTCTGGATAAAGAAGCCCACTAATTCTATATGATCCGTATGTGATATAGCACAACTTTGGCTTTATTCAACCTCAATAAGGAGTAAAGCAGTTAAATCTGATATAGCCCCCAGCATATTCATTACCATAAACCACTTTAAAGTCGATAAAGGTACAATATTGTGTCGCTAGTATAGAAGGAATAAAATAGGGTACATGTATTCGTATTTGAGAGGCGTCCTCAAACACTTCAAATAAAATGTTTTTCATATTCAGTGATAATTCTGGCATTATAATACCCCCACAACTCTTGAATATGCATATTATATGGGTTTTTTTACAAATGCAGTATGTTTGACAACACAGTGTAAGACCAGATGCATGTCACCTCTTTCGCTTGTAGAAAACTAATATTGATTAACTTTAAAAGGGTAGTGTCGGTTTTCACATACATTACACAAATAGGTTTAAGTCTAGAAATCGAACCCCAACATGCACAGAAATAGCTTAGTGATCGTTATTTTAAGTCCAAAATATTGACCTGTTTGGTAACATACCCCAACATTGCTTAACCAGGTCAATACCACTACCCCCCCCCCCCTTCGCCCCCCCCCCCCAAAAAAAACAAAACAAAACAACAACAGGATAAATGAATAATTGATATTTTTATTGGAGTCACTAAAACTCGGAAAGAAAAATGCAGTTACTGTCAGCAGGGCTTGAAATGTTCGCCTGTCTACTTGTGGCTACAGGCAATTTGTATGTCTGACAGCTATACTTAAAACTACATATCCCAGTATTCTAAATTTTATTTAATGTTCGGTAAACTGACTTAAGACCAAAAAGCTCACATATTTAATTATTCATTTCCAAAATGATTGTAATACAAGAATTAACTACCAATAAATAATTGGAAAAGCCAACATTTGCATTATTTTCACAGGGCACAGTCGTATTGCGGTATATTAGATTCAAAATTCTAACATGCTATCGTCTAATTTCTAACTTCTATTCATATAATTTCTAGATTCTATCCATGTAATTTTAATTCTGTTTCATCTTATTTCTATTATTAAGACGAAAAATGTCTACTTTGTTGTCGCTTTACATGTTAAGTATGAAAGTCAAACAAATTTAGAATTTTCATACTTCTACTTAGCAACCAGGTTGAATGGTTTGGCGGAGTGTTGAAATTGAAAACAACATCGAACGTGACATGGTTTGCAAATACTATTTCAAGTATAAGCCAACAGCAAATGTTGTTTAGCTTGTATTTGAAATAATTTTCGCCAACCACATCACGTTCGATGTTTTCAAATTCAGCCTCGATTCCCCGCTTCGGCGGTTGTACGTGACAAGGAGTAGGGTCGTCTGTCCAACTTCGTGGCTTTTCTCCGGGTCCTTCGGTTTCCTTCCACTGCTAGCGAATTCTTGAAATAAAATTGAACCATATGTTAGTTAGGAAATGGCCTAGTTTGTGTCGAGTGGTCGTTGAACCCCCCCTCTCTCTCTCTCTCTCTCTCTCTCTCTCTCAATTTCAGCACTCCGTTCCCCCTTGCCAGTGATTGAGGACGAAGGACAGTTGTCTAGTCGTTCGGATGGTATGATAAACCGGGGTCCCGTGTACACATTGGCGTGCACGTAAAGCATCCATTGACAGTTGGAATTCAATGTAAGAGTAGGCCGTAGTGTCGCTGTCCGGGCAAAATTTCCCTCATAGCACACTGTATGGCGTATGCCCGTCTTCATTAGGCCAATTCGGAGCAGAACAGTAGGGCGTTAAACCCCATTTCATTTCCAGACGAAGAGTGAGTCGTTTATATCAACGTAATGATCCCGTCCAGGTGCGCAATCACCAAATGAGCACGCAGTGGGACAGAAGTGTTAAAATTTTAAATTCTTTGATGGCATCAATAAAGAAGACGTTTTTCGTCTAAATAATAGAAATAAGATGAAATAGAATTAAAATTTACACTGAACAAATAAAGAAGGTGGATTATACATTGTCTTAATTTAGAAATTACATGAATAGAAGTTAGAAATTATATGAATAAAAGTTAAAAATTGCATGAGCAAAAGTTAGAAATAAGACGATAAGGGGGGCGTGAGTTGTCTTCTATTAATAATAAAATAGTGCTATGTGCAGGTGCAAAGTCTTTTTTTTTGATATTGAATTTATTACGGATATTTTACCATCTGAATTCAACACAAAAAAAATATTTTTAAAAATCTTTAAAAAATCGATTCTGATTCTCGCGATTTAATGCGCGAATCTTGAGAAGGTAAATCGCGATACATCGATTCAAAGATATATCGTGCCTGCACTAATGTAATTAAACCCATTGTACTCATAAAACTTAAAAGAATTAATTTAGACTGTTCAATCAATTTAATTACAATTAATCTTGATAACAATCAATAACATACACCCTCGTGTTTTTTATGAATAAATATACATTCACAATCTTATTAATTTCAAACAGTGTATTTTTTATTTTCTTTATAATTGAATTCATTATATAATTTGTAATTAATAAATTTAATCAATGTTCTTATATTTTTGTAAAAAAAAATCTTACGGGAGATGAATTTATATAAACTCTGGCTTGTTTTCAGATCCCGTAAGTGTTTAATGTATGTCTCTATTTCATGTCAATATTTAATGAATAAATATCGTAAGAAAAAGAAACCTAGAATACATATTCCGTAACTTGAGGATCACTTGACATTGTAAATTGGTACATTCAGGTCATCTCCATAGTTTTATAAACAGTTTATCCAGTGTAAGCTAGAATTCCGTGGATATTGTGTCGCATTGTCATAATTTCTAATATTCATGATTATGTCATTTTGTGGATATACCTATTAAAATTTTAATATACACACTAGTGATCTGGGCCCTTATTCACGAAAACTTAAACTAAGTTACAACCGAAATTTTAAGAAATACTGCAACTTCATTGGATATATGCAAATTGATTTTACTGGTCAGCCAATCGAATTGCAGTTTTTCTTAAAATTTCGATTGTATCTTAGTTTAAGTTTTCGTGAATAAGGGCCCTGTATGTGTCAATAGTGTTATATTGCTCTTACACCTATACTTTACTGCCACTGGTCGCACTGTTGCTTCTTTCTTGCGTGAAGCGATGGCCCGGATATTTGTTGTTTATCGCTTGCTATGTCCGTGTAGTTCGGCGGGACGATTTACCCAATACTACCCAATACCACCCGAATACCACTCCAATATCACCACATACTACCCAGTACTACAACATAATGGCGCCAAATGAGCATATTACTTGATTATTTTTTTTTTTCAAAATTAGTGCGATATATCCTGAGAAATGTACTTATGTACTTCAAATGTGATTATCGATGTCTGGCTGTTCCATTGCCTCCCTATAACACCCAAATCAAGCAAAAAATAACCCAATACTACCAAATACTAAATACTATACCCAATATTATAAAATACAAACCTAATATCGTCAATTAGCAGCACATCACTATAATAATTGCAACGAATATTTGATAATTTACAGAAAATTGAAATATTTACGCAATGATCTCCCTTTACAACCGACAAATAGATTTTAGATTGCTGCTCAGATTAATTGTCTTGTGTTTGCAGTTTGTTTCCAAGACGACGAAGTTAAAATAAGGAAAACAGGTTCTTATAAATGCCCCCGCTATAGTGTATTCATACAATATTACAAATTAAAAGCATATCAATATATAATATAACATAAAATAAAAAGAGTTTTAAAAGAAGTTAACAAAGATTCGAAAATGCATTAAAATAAAACCAGTTTGTAAAATAAACAGTCAAACATCCAAATAAGAGAGAACTTTAGGGGTTTATTTAAAAATGTCCATTTAACCGTCTCGTGGCCTACTCAAAAGTCTTCTTATGCTATAATTATTTCTTCACCTGGTGATTTTAATATGATAACACGTTGTCTACAAGGGCACGCGGTGCTGTAAAAAAAATCATTTAGGTATAATATGTAGGGAAAGCACACGAATTTATCTTTATATTTGTCTTTTAATGACTTATTAACGCGTCTTCTTTGTCTTTTAAATGATCCCGGTTCCAACCCAATCGCCTTTGAAAAAAAAACCTCTCGTCAAAATTTCACCGATTCTTCGAATATCTTTACTATTGAATAGATTATAAGTATTCTACTGTATATATCCACATGTGACGATGTCGCGACGATGTCATTACCACCTATATGAATAGACACGGCCACCAGTTTCCTCCCACATATGCAAAATATGTTTATATTTATCTTTTCATGTCAACCATTAAGTTATTGCATATATACTTAATGGACGATGTTTTATTTTTAAATTAATGAAATTGCACATGTTTATTACAAATATGTAATGCTCTAATCGTATATACATTTCAACTGACTTAACAATTAATCAACGGGGTTAAGATTTTTGATTGGGTAATCAAGTTCTGGTTTATTTACATTATCAAAGAAACCGACAGAGATGTAACAGGCCGCAAATGATAGTTTTGATGAAATGAGAAATATCGCGTCGAGAATTACACACAGGAATAAAACATGTGCAATTTCGTTAATTTTAAAATAAAACATCGTGCAGTAAGTAAATACGCAATAACTTAATAGTTGACATGAAAAAATGAATATAAACATTATACAATTGTTTTGTTAAAGCATTAATTCTTAAATAAATACAACCAATCGACACTAACTAGGTAATTTCGGGACTAACATCTAGTTCAATATTATTTCATTAACTCGCTTGCGCGAAGGGGTGTTTGCAGTGAGATGAAACCGGGGGACCCGAGAAAACCCACCTTGTTTGACAGACGACCCTATCAAGTGGTATTAGGTTGTTATTTGATAATATTGGGTAGTATTTAGTAGTATTATGTTGTAGTTTTGGGTAGTATGTGGTGATATTGAGGTAGTATTGGGGTGGTATTGGGTAAATCGTCCCACCCGTGTAGTTTGCATATTCCTGAAGCAATGGCCCGAGCAATCCCTCTCTGGCCATTGCTGGATTGGCTTCTGATCCTTGAGCTTTGAGGGAGTTTGTCTATTCTTCCCGTTCAATCAAATATATCCCAAGTAGGCTACAGCAACATGACAGCCCTTCGTTTAATCTGGGTCTTCCCTAAAACTTTGGACAGTGATTTAAGGTTTTAAAAACGGTGAAAGTATGTTCGTCTCCAAACAGCATTGTTTACATTGTTTTCGATTTGATAGCCTCGTTTGTCACGCAATTAGTGTTTCTGCAATATTCTGCTATGCACTGGTTAATTGGGCATAATAAAATCGTGAGTCACAACGTAACGTTATGTAAACATATTTGGTCCAATTTGGAGCTCTGTTAATGCCTTTGTAACGCAGTTAGCTATTTGTTGTTAAGCGGACCATTGATCAGTCATAATTTGGAACAGAAATTTGATTTCGTTCAAGTAGTGTTTAGTGGGATTAGGTCTAATTAAACGAAACACTGCGAGGAGTATGTGTAGTTTGTGTCTCTTCAACAAGTTCGTATTTTTTGGTTTCATTTATGTAGTGCTGTCCCCCTGTACTTATTATAATAGTCAGGGGCGGATTAAGGGATCGGTCAACGGTAGTTCAGCTCTGAACGTAGGTCTCATTACACTCGGCCTGCACGTTCAGGAACTCCCCCATTGAATCCTTGTCGAAATTCCAATGGCTTCCCAGTCAATTTTACTGGGCAACTGTTTACTGCTAAACGGTCGCGTGTCAGTTCCTGTGAACGCCTGAACAATATAAATGAACATCTTAGTGAGAAAATAAGACCTTGCTTACCTCGTTTCATCTTATATGGCCGGGTTCGAAAATTTGTGCGTTGCCGTTTCAATGAAGTCCGTCAAGTCGGTTAGAAAACGGAGACGTATTTTTTAAACAGCGTGTTGTGTCGCTCATACTGACTCTAGCGGAGTAAGCAAGGTCTTATTTTTTCACTAAGATGTTCCTTTACATTGTACAGGCGTTCACACGGATTGACACCCCTCCGTTTAGCAATAAAAAATTGCCCAGTAAGATTGATTTGGGCGGATCTCGGTTTCGAAAAGGATTCAATAGGATAGTTCCTGAACGTACAGGTCGAGTGTAATGAGACCTACGTTCAGAGCTGAAATAGGTCAACGGATACTCGTTTTGAAGGACCCCAGCGAGGGCTTGGGGCCTGTACCCCCCTCCCCCCAAATAAAATAAAAAGCTTTTTAAAATAATACATGAGATTTAGAACACTTTTCTGTCATTAAGAAGCCCGTATCATTACAGGTCCGGGACTATACAGCGTATAAGTGGACACTGGACACATAAGGCCCGCCCGGATGGATTGATTTGATATCTGTTGCAATATCGTCTATGTGGTATTGTCTTGAACGAAGGTTCGTTTTATTGGTTTTGTTTGTGTGCAGTGCGGTCCTCCTGCACTTATCGCAACTTTCCTTTTTTTTCAAATCTTTGTTGCGGATCAACAGTAGAAAAGATCCCTGTTAAAATTATATTTGGAATGTATACGATTACCCATGTACAGAAACATGACGGATTTATGATGGTTGCATATATTTCATGGCGCGTAATCATTTTTTGATAAGTAGAAAATGCATTTATTTATCTTAAGTTGATTTTGTATCTTGGTTTGTGGGTTTTCTAATATCCGGTGTAAGCTATAGTTCCTCTTTGTCGGTATTACGCCACTTTGCCAAAATTTCAATCCATAATTTTGTCATTTTGTTGTGCAATCATTCAAATTTTAGACATGATGCATTGAATATTAATACCGATAAAATATATTTCCTTTGTTCAATACTGTGGTTATTATTGACTGTGATTAGTAGGACCCGACACCACCTCCTTTATCTGTTTTTGGTAAAAAAGTGTGTTTTCCCCTGTTCCCTTTAACTGTACATACTTTAAGAATATTGGTAAGCCATTGCTTGATAGCGTGAGCAAAAGGTTTTGATTTAAATTTTCTTAAATTTAAAACTACAATAAACACTATCTATGACACAAATTATAGTACACAGTTCGTATTATTATATAATCAACAAAATACACCAGGTTAACCTATAATTTATACTCTTTAGTTTCTACAAACACATTATCATATACATTATTAAGTTTCAAAAGCATGACCAGCAGTATGGGCATGTTTTGTTTTGCAAAAAAGGGACATAACTCTAAAAATAAGAAAATAATTTTGGCAAAAAATAAGGAACTCCGTTTTATCATAACACAAGTCTCATGAAAATTTCAATATTTTTTTCTTAAATCAAAACTCTGCCCTCTATTGTGCGGTCAAGCATTAAAAGCTCATAGAGCATTTAATAGCGCAGTTTTGATACGAACACCGGGTACCTTCGAACTATGGACAAAGTTAGCTCCAGAAATATCTTCTTAGACTAAAATTATATCTACCATATAAAACAATACTTAAAAACTACGATGAAAAATAAAATATGTATCATATTCCTGATCTAAAATATATCAACAAATTAAAATAGTTAAGTAAGTGTTAAGTGCAAAAAAGAATACATCGATTACATGTGTTATTAACAGACGACAGTTGAAAGACGTTTCCTATAAATCGCAATATTTGATGAATATAGCGATACTAAATTAATCTGAACCTTTAAAACTAAAGTCCCTGTAAAGATACTGTACATGTATATAAAAGAAAGGAAATGGTCTCGCAAAAAATGAAACCACTATCAACTGATCTGATCGATGGATGTTGTTTGCTTTGGAAAGTAAAATGGTCAATACTAAAGCATTTTGAACGTAACATATATAAATAAAACAAATTTAAGATGGAAGTTCAACTGTTGTGATGATGTACTAGAACTGCACTTGTCTTTGGGATTAGGGTCAACTTCCATACCAGAATACTGCCAAGTTCCACATTTGGGGAACCCCTTTGGCCTTTTCGGCATTTCATCCTTAGTACCAACTTGTATTATGACTGCCATTCCGATATCTGCATGGAACTGTATGTGACAATGGAAAAACCACGCTCCTATAATTACAAAAATCAAATTAAATGAAACATACAGTATTGTGTCGTTTGTGAAAATGTGGAATTATTATCTCTCATCCCCGATTATCTCCACTTCTCTCAGCCACGATTTTAATGTAATTTGAACAAGTTTAAGTTAAGCGGGTGTTTGTTTCTGGGCAGTTAGTTCGTAATTAGTTAGAACTAGATGAGACATAAAGACCAAATCCAACGTATATCTGTTCATTCTGTAAGTATTGCATTCGGCACCATTAACGGCCCAAAACCTGTTCTTACCTGCATTATCGGCATAAAATCTAATAACAGTATAACCACCATCTGGTACAGTTACTGAATCTTTACTAACAGCTTTACTTAATTTTCTCTTGATAAAACCTCCTTCATCTAGAGCTTTAACTTCTTCTAATGATGTTGATGTATTTAACTGTAAATAATATGTTTCTAAACACAATAGTATATATTGTCAACCCTTAATTTAATGGTCCAGTTTTATTCTTAAAAAAAAATAAAATAAAATGGACCGTCGTCAGTCTTGATTCACGGTTATTCCGCCGAGGCGAGGAATGCGACGCTAGCATTCTATCCAGGCCTGGAATAACATGGTGGTGGTGGTGGTGGGGGGGGGGGGCGTGGAGCATATCACATTTCGTATTAACGAATAAAACCTATCTCTTACGGAAGAGTGAAAACAATCTGTTGCCATGCAAGATACGTCCACGTTTTGCAAGAGATGGAAGGAGAAATCGATAAGGTATACCTCTCTTTTGGCATCGTGGGGGGGGGGGGGTAACTCCGGAACAGAAGGTGTTGGAACGCTGAATATCGACAGAGTTCGTCATCTCACAAACCCAGTGTTTTACACCAAATTTGAAAGAGATCTGTTACACAATGTAGCCTGTATCGCATTCCCAAAGTTTACGGCTAAGGAGTCATGGACCAGATACGAAGGGTTTCAATAAGCTAATTATCGAAAGGGTTCGTCCCCTCATGACCCAAATGTTTCAAACTAAATTTTAACAAGAGGTTGCTATGCAAGATATGCCCACATTTTGCAAGAGATGGACAGAGAACTGGTTTTAAAAAAACGAATTTTCGTACAATCAGGTGCTGTAATCCAGGTTGTTACGGTCCTACAAGCGACAACATCAAAAAGAAACCAAGATCTTTGGGATATGAAAATATATTTATCAAAATCAAATTAAAAAAATGTGACCTCTAGGGGTCCGCAAACTTAAAACGCGACAATCAGGGGCCATAATCCAGGAAGTTTCGGTCCTATATGCGCCAATATCGAAAGGAACCGAGATCTTTGGGATATAAATATATATTTTAAGTTTCATCAAAATCGGATAAGAATTGTGACCTCTAGAGGGTCCACTACCTTGGTATTACATACTTTTACACCTTGGCCAATTCTACGAATCTAGGGTATCGGAGTCTCCCGATGTTTGCCGAATGAGCCTTTATAGTAAGTGGCGAAAGTGCGGGTAATGTTTTCGGTACCGTTGAAGAATTCTGCATACGCATTCTGTCAATATTGGAGGGTATTCACCTAAAAATAGTTTTAATTGTGATGAAGCCAGTTTGTCGTTTTCAGAACAGGTCATCCAAGATCTTTTAAACCTTAACATATTTTAAGATTCGCCTTGGTATATATGTGACATGCTTTGCCACTATTTGGGTAATGGGGAGGGGGCATTTTGATGGGAAGTTTTGGTCCGCATTTCACGAAATTCGAACTCATCAGCGATTGTTGTGTAGTGAACATTTGTTCGGCATTGAAATCGAATAATCCAGAACGTTACGGTCCGAAATCAAACACTGAGATATGTGCAATAAAAACGCGCATTTCACTTACTTTATCCATGGCAATTACTCTGAAGGGATGACCATGTAAATGTGTTGGATGATTGGCGTTGAACGTGACACCTTCGTCAATCAATACAATTTCAACAGTATCACCTAAATCTACTTTAAGTCGGTGAATACATTGGCAAAATTCTTCTGTGCAGTTCTTTTGAATAGTATCTTTATCACAGTACAGTTCCTTAAAAAATAACAAAAGGGTTTTAATTTTCAGATATTCGTACTCCTCTGATTAATAAAATAGCATCGGGTCCACTTTAGTAACTAAACTGCGTTAAAGACTTTAGAAACACTTATTCTAGCCATGCACATCTATCTAAAAACGTCGTACATAGATCCCGTTAACTATAAACATTTTACATATAATACATTAAGCTGAAACTTTTAGACAAGGTGAGTATACTAGACTATATTGATTTGCATACGTTATCCGCTTTTATCAAAGAATATCCTCTGAAATCTAGGATTGCTCTCGTAAATAAAATAGTATTTTCTTCATGGCTTACTAATTAATTAAACAATGGGGAATTGTTGTTGGCAGTACCCTGAGTTCAAGCGTGGTGTCACTGTTTGACTTGGTTTGGATCGGTTCCTTGTCCATTTAACTTTAGAGAAACCGCGTCAGTTATGCATCTATTAGGTTCTTCGTCCTAACATATTTTATAAAAACCTAAAACTGATTTATCAAGATACTTTATATTGTCTTTATGAAACGTCACCCAACTGTTTATTATTGATATAAATCATTTCTTATTATGTTTTTCTTTTCTTTATTTTTTTTTATTACTGCCCACCATTTTTCTTGCAATATTATTGGCTTTTTGTAACAAAAAGAGAAACCAAGTCAACCCAGGTACGAGTTAAAATTATTATATATACGTTACGATAGGAACAACAAACGTGCATTTGTCTCAAACTAACCAAAACTTATCCAGCTGTCGGTTGGGGACCTTAAATCACAAATACAGCGAACGGTGACATGGGGGAGCCACGGCTGCTAAGTAAGTAAGACGTTGGCTCGCCATCCTGGAGGTTGCGGGTTCGATCCCAGTGTTGGCCGGCGTTGTTCCCCCTTGTCAGTCGTGCAGGACGGGGAACCTGACAAGGATGGCTGTCTAGTCGTTCGGATTGCCAATACAATGTTAAAGGTTTCATACATATGACTGTGACTCAAAGGAATTCCCCACGACAAGTTCAGTACCCCAGGAATAGAACCCATACACCCCTACCGAGTAAGCTAAAGGAAACTTCCCCCAACATCTAAACACGAAACAACACGGGGCAGACAGAAGATACATACCTCCGGCACATCATCATGTTGAGTCAAAATTGGAGCATGTGGCATCATGTTGGAGATTCGATTGATTTGTGGTGAATACAAATGTTTCTGTCGGACCACTGATGAAAGTGGATAAAGATCTGGACGATTATAGAAAATATTATCAATTTTGGAAAAATCGTACGTCAAATAAAACTTTTTGTCTGGTTGTTCTTTGAGTGCCATATCATCAGGAACCATCGAAGTTAATTTAGTAACAGGAATCTGGTCCTCGTTTTCCTTTTGGTTCCATGGATTGAGCAGCTTTAAAAAATAACATCAAATGTTTATTGAAATTTTACAGACGAAAGTTAATCTAAAGCAAAACTCTATATCTCCCTTAATTTTATGTCAAAATAGCATCAATAATTATTGAGATATGTAATGCCGCATTGATTATTTAAACAATTTAACTATCATCATTAAAAATTTGGCACTACTTGCAAAACCTTGGCAATGTAAATATGATTAGATATCAAGAACGGTCAGATAGAATTTTCATTCCTGGGCTTTTAAAATGCGTATTACAAAAATGATAAAACTGAATACTAATATAGCACACGTACTTTTCCACCTTGCTTCGACCTCATATAGTCTTGTGGAGCTGTTGGAAGTTCTTTGGGGCTGCCATGATATCTAAGAATGGCGAGGGCTTGGGCTTGCTTTTGGTTTTCACCACAATCAGCTAATCCCCGAACTCTAAACCAATAATTACCGACATCTTTATTTGCATTTAACACGAAGTCGTATCTTTCTCCAGCAAAGATATTGAATGAGTCCACTACGATGGGTTCAAAAGGGTTTCCATCACTTGCTATTATTATGATGGGATGATCATCAATGGATATTTGAAGAGGACAGTTGAATATAGCATTGCTGACAATTCGGAACCGATAACTTTTAGTGCGATTAACGTGGAAAACCTCCCTGGGAGTGTTCAATATTTTACCAGGTAGATCATCATACGCGAAGTCTTGGTAAGCTGCTTTACCTAAAAAAGACCAACATTTTTTTCGAATTAATAAATTAATAATGTATAACTTTCCTGTAATTTTTGGTACTAATTATATATTTGTAGGCTATTTACTACGGCCACGTGTGCAATGCCAAGTTTGCGCTTAATCTTCTTCGAGTTCCAATGTCAAGGTTATTTTATGTGTAAACCTGTATGACAACCTGCCTTCATAGAGCATATCCTTTGTCTTAATAAGTTGTAGCAATGGGGATTAAGCTAATGAACCCCCATTTTCCTTCTCAGGCCCTCTGTCATAGGGAAATCAGACTGCAAAATCCTTTTCACAATATCCCCCCCCCCTACTGAACATATAACAATGTTATGGTACTTAACGTGGGAATTGTAAATTAGTGAAGAAAATGAACTGACATTAATCAACTTGAGAGCACCTCTATTTAGTAACACGAGGACCTCATTTAAATATAACTAAGGATCCAGCCAAATATACTTGCCATTTATAAGCATCAGTCGAGGTTTGTTGTCACCGTCACTATGGTGATGCTCGGCAAATCGATCAATTGTTAGTTGATTTAACCAATCATTGACCATTACAGTATGTTCAGCAAGATCTTCATCATATAGCGAAAAATGGACTTCTCTACTTGGTGGTTGACTTACAACCAAATGACCAAATATTCCATCTGCTCTTTGTACACCAGCATGAGAATGCCAATAATGTGTTCCAGCGTTTTCAGCTTTAAATCTGTAACGGGCGTATACATGTATTAATTGAATAATCATTTGCAATTTGTATCCAGCGGACATCAAATCTCTCTCTCTCTCTCTCTCTCTCTCTCTCTCTCTTATCCACATTAGCCTTCTGATTACACTGACTTTTATAGGTCTACCTAATTTAATGTATTTTCAGGGTCCATTCAGTTTTGTTAGTTACTTCAACTCCCGCTAATAGCATGTGGTCAATAGATGGAGGTATGTATGACTTCAGATTATAAATCCTAGGTGAATTTATTAGCATCTAATAAGTAAATAATACCAATATTGCCAATTCATCTAACTCTTAGAGGTGATTTATTTCCGTAAGGTCTGATTATACAAAAGAAAAGTAGTATCGAATGTATTACTTGATGAATGAGAAGCCTGACTGACAAAGAGAGGTTCTCGTTTTAAACTTTGCCAGTCTTACCTGTATTGAAATGTAGAATGTGTTGGTATAGGGCATTGTGTTACCATAGGAACACCATCCATCCATTGGGAACCTTTCTGATAAATACCATGCCAATGTATAGCCGTGCCTTCATTTGTTTCTAATTGGTTCTTTACATTAACGACGATCATATCATTTTGACAAACCTTGATATAGAGAAAGAAATAAATATTCTTATTAGGTGTAAAGGTGTTCCAAATCGGTGAAGCAGAAATGCTGGACGGACACTCTGCATTAAGTAATTATCGACAAAAGTTATGTGCTAGAACTTTCGGTTTCTTTAAGATTGCGCATGACAAGGTAGGAAACCGCGGAATGATTGGATTTCGTATTATCAAGATCTCGCGTTAACGAAAGTATTGCATTTCGGCTACCATGTCTGTACATGACATGCGTAATATATCAGCTGTTCTCCTTTTTCTTATCTACTAGTCCATCGTAAAATGGTAAAGGTTGAAAAATGGATTGTTATGTGCTAGAACTTATGATTTCTTTAAAATTGCGCATAACAGATATAGACCGGAAGACGAAATGACATCACTTTCCAGCTTCTTGCCTTCGCCTTCCGAGGTGTGAACAACACGAAGGCTTCTTGCCTTCGCGTTGGTAACTCATGATAGCGAAGCAAAGTATCGAGGGGATGAGATTAGGACAATTGTCCCGGCTTCTTTACTTCACCTTCTCACTTAGTTAAAGTAGCTAAGTCTCCAACTCAATATCAACCAAAATCTTCAACATTGAAAACACAAATTATTTGTCAATTTAAATCAACATTGATGCTGTGATCTTACCGGAAAAAGATGGGCTTCTGATATCCAATATTTAAGACAAAATAAACATTTTGCCATTGGTACACGAATCGTGTACCATAATGCGTTTCAGCCCCAGTTCTAGCAAGAGACTCGAGGAACGAGGCTAGACATATTGCATCAAACCAAATGTAGACTGGAATAACCAGGCACTAGAAATTTGCATTCGATTGAGACTGCGGGCTTATTTCGCGGAACATAACTGATTTGAAATTCGAGTAAAAACGGAAACCATTGAATGTGTATCAGTTTATATACATTCATATTACAGTATTATATGAGTTGCGACCCACTTGTGTCAATTTCTAGGTCCCAAATGTTAGCGATTTAGCTCCTTTAAATCGAAGGCAAGGATAGAAGGGGTACTCATCGGCTTCCATAAAGTTCTGCCAAGTAACCAATTTTAAGGCAGGTTACAAGCAGTCGTTTAGATCAAGGTCAGATGGTGTATCTATGGAACTTGTATTAAACCTACAGCCGATATGTCATTCTTTCAAGGACTAAGCTTTACGGAAATGTATATGCATTTTAATACGAGAAAATGCGATTAAAAATCTCTAGGCGACTGTTTCAAAGTTGATATTGGTCTTTATCTTTCAGTAATACGGGGTTTGATATCTTAACAAATAACATACCCGGATTCCTGGACCAGGTAACATTCTATTAACAACAACTACAGATCGTGGAACTCCATCAGCTGATATACAATGTGGTCTATTACAATCTGTTATATTTCTAGGACAATCATAACATGCTTTACTCAATGTATAATAATATTCTAGAGTAAAGTTATATATACATGTCATTATTTCTCCACCATCTTTACAAGCCCGTGCACATTTGTGATCTTTATAACCTGAAACAATGTATAAAATGTCGAGTTTTCAAAAGTATCTGTAACATTTATGATGACGTAGGAAATATATGGTTTGTCGTGGCCAGCTGTCTGATGACTGTATGTAGGCCTAAATCTTATCTGTTTTTGCATCACATTAGAAACATGTTACTAAAAAGTCAATAAATGTGCTTTGTTTTCAACTCAGGTTGGATGTGATATTAATATATCTTTATACCTAATAATAATGTTACTAAAACGAAAGGAAAGGTCATAACACACGGATCTTATGGACAATTACTTTTCTTTGAATTCTACAATGCCAGGGCTTATTTTAGCCGTAAGGCTATGTTTTTAAGGAATGCATTCGGATTTGTATTTTATCCAAACTATCAGGCTTACTTTCCTTGACAGGTAGAAGCAGGGCCTGTAGATCCCGATGGTTCTTCTTGACTTAAGGCGAGATTCGTATCAGGGACATTCTAGTGGAACACTCCAACCCATCCCCAAAAACTCCACTTTATTTTGAACGTTGATATTTCCTAACTTGACCCACCTCCAAAGCGAAACACAGGTTGCTATTCTATGGACATGCCTCACATTGTGACCACTAATACGCACTATAGTCGCCAGTTATTCAAGGGTAACTTAATTAATCAATGACCCGTACAGGTTATAATACATGTATATAGCAAAGGGAGGACGCTAAAATATGGTCACCCCATAACAATTAATTCGCAAATAAAAGGCATCAACACTTAAAAGATAGGGTAATAAAATCCAAATCATAGTAGAAGTTGGTTGTTAAAAATGTATTAATTCTGCCTTAAAAGCCTAATATATGGTCATGTTTACTCCGGACAGTGGTTTATTTGATTAGACCAAAGCCGTATACATGTATATAGGGCTTTGGATTAGACCTACGGGATTACTCGCACCATCGCTTCTGGAAAATGGCGGTCGTGAGAAAATTCCTAAACTGGTAATAGTCGTGTATCGCTTATTAAAGACTTGGTTGTTGATTTGTTTTCTACAAGAACCGCTTTCAATTTAAATATGTATGCCCCAAACACTGTCGTATATATCAAAATTGAAATAGTAATATAAATTAAATATAAAAAAAGTAAATCAGTAAAGATAAGCCAATTTGCATATATATATTTGGCATCAAAATTAACACTAATGGTGCTAAAGGATTTATTTGGAAATTTAACGAAGCGGGCGTAATACAATTAAACATTTCGGTTGATTACTATTCATTGGCTTTCTATTTAATAAGAATCGAAGCAGACACGCGGCACACCAGTTTAATTAAAACCTTACTTGAAAAAAATTATGACTACACTGAAAAAACACTTGTGTTGGATCTCAACACAAGTACTTGTGTTAAAACTAATCTACACAAGTTATGTGTTGTTTTTCATTGCATTAACACAAACTTGTGTCGATTTATAAAATCTTGTGGTTTTTTTCTTATCATTAACACAAGTAATGTGTACCTTCCAAGATTTGTTTTCTTTTTAAAAAAAAAACTCCATACAAAGTCTGAATTCGGGAGTCGTCAAGTTTTAAGAAAAGTAATAAAGGGCTTAATTCACATCTCGAAAATCACATGCTGTTCTTCACTGGAAGGGTGTGAGTACCAATTAATCAGACAATTGCCAGACAGACTTGAATGTTAATTGATGTTAAGTTGTCTGTAAAGTTAAAATGTCTGTCTTTTTTTATTGACCCAATAAACTGATAGATCAAATGAATATATAGTGTACATGTGATTTTCAGCACCCTGGTGTTTTCGAAAATTGATTCAATGTACAATGAACAAAAAAAATGAGTAAAACTCTAAATAATGTAATTGGTTGATGTAATCGAAATTGGACAGTATTGGTTAACTGAAAAGTAACCAATCATTTAATTGATCATCCACGTGTATCTCATAATCGACTTATTGATATAATGGTTCTCCAAGTTATCTATACTTTTTGTCTGCGATATCACTTCGGTGGAAGCGGACGTAAAATACAACTAATTTACTAAGAAGAAGTATCTATACTTTAGTCATTGCGACAAATTCTTTCTTTGATATTATATCAGCGACATTCAGTTAGATAGATGTAGTGAAGTTAGCATCAACAGGGTGCTTTAGCCGTGATATTTTAAAAAAAATTATAATGGTCACATAGAATACCAGACCGCAGGTTTGTAAATTTTTACAAAAAATAAAACTGTGTATTTAATTCAGCATGTATATATTGCTTCTATGTATATAATAATTCGTTTCGTTTAAAACAGTCAGATTTAGAACTACTGCCACTGACTGCACCGGAAGTCTATTTATATAATGGCGCCACAAAGAAATTTTTTTTGATGTGTTCTAAAAGTGTTCCGCTAATTCAGCAATCTAATGAATCTGTCTTAATTTTTCTGAAATCGTGCTTAATTATTATTAGCTAATCGGCGCTACACCGTTGTTCAAATACTTATAGCAAGAAACCCCCGACTAGGACCAGCAGGTAAGAATCTGTCTTGATTTTATAGTAATACCCGGTTGCAATTATTGGCCGCCATCTTTGATTTTTATAGACGTTCGGGCAAAAGGAGAAATGTATATCCAGACATGGACTATAGCTAGATACTAACTTTTGTGTTAGTTGTTTAGTTGAAATGTAATCTTATTTCTGTAAAAGAAAAAAACAACAAACAAATCAGCCTTTTTTATATATTGTGATGATCCGAAATTTCTGTAACTAGTAATAGTATTAAGTTTTCATGTATATTTGGCTTTAAATTTAATTACGGGTTTCTTTTGGTTTCTAAAATTATCTCTTTGGCTTTTTGTGTCTCACCTTGCCTACGGCTTCGTCAGTTGTTTATTTTTATATCTAATTTTAATGTCATCATTGTCAATTGTATTTGTTTTATCGGTAATCCTTCTATTTGTTTATCGTTCGCTATAATGTCCTGTATTGTGTGTGGTTAATCTAGTCTACTTCCGTCTCTTTTGTCTCACTGCGCATGCGTGGCGCGCATTATTTAAGAACGGACAACTAGTCTGTCTGGGATTCAGATGCTTGATTTCAAGGTGAGAGGTCGCGTGTTACTTCTCGTGTCTGGATACCTGACCATTTCTTGGGCCGTGTGCTTCAAGTTACCTTGACCATAATCTGGGCTTTTGCTCATACGTTGGTCGATACTTGTACGCCCTAGTGTCTCAGTGTTAACCAGTGTGTTCTAGTGGAATACAGCGGGTGGCCGCGAACGTGTCTCGTGGGTCAAGCCATTTTCTTGGCCTTTCGTACAACGCGTAGACGTCGGCTGTGGGTTGATCGCATTAGTGGATTTGGGGTTGCCCCTTCCCGTTGTTGTATAATCGACTCCCACTCGTGAGTTAACTCTGAGTAAGCCTTTTATTGGTCGGATTTGTGTCGACTTTAGGCCTCTATTGGATAGTGAAGTGCCTTATTTTATATAATATATTCCGTCCCAGTGTTTTACCAGTGGATTATTTTTAATATTTATTATATGATATTCATGTTTTTGGATTATTTGTACCCGTATATGTTTATGTGTTGAAACTGAAAGGATTACCGGGATACCAATTGCTTTATTGTTGAGATTATTTTTGTCCCCCGCCTTTCGAAGAAAGCAGGGGACTATTAAAATGGGTTCGTCCGTCTGTCTGTCCGCCCGTCCGTCTGTCTGTCCGTCACACTTTTTGGGACACAATAACTCTCTTCCTAATTGAGCTAGAATGTTCAAACTTGGTGTATGTGTTTATTAGGTCAATGCCTTGATGGAGTTCGAAGATGAGCATTTTCCGCTTAGGGTAAGCAGAGATAAGCAATTTGATTGGTTGATGCTTTGGGACACGATAACTCTCTTCCTAATTGGGCTAGAATGTTCAAACTTGGTGTATGTGTTGATTAGGTCAATGCCTTGTTCTAATTGGGCTAGAATGTTCAAACTTGGTGTAGGTGTTTATTAGGTCAATGCCTTGATGGAGTTCGAAGATGAGCATTTTCTGCTTAGGGTAAGCAGCGATAAGCAATTTGATTGGTTGATGCTTTGGGACACGATAACTTGAGTTCTAATTAAGTGAGAGTGATGAAACTTGGTGTATAGTTTTATTACATCAATACCTTGACTAAGTTCGATAATAAGCATTTTCTGCTTATGGGTAAGCAGAGCGATAAGCAATTTGATTGGGTGAGACTTTGGAACACATTAACTCTCCTTCTAATTGAGCTAGAATGTTCAAACTTGGTGTAGGTGTTTATTAGGTGAATGCCTTGATAGAGTTCGAAGATGAGCATTTTCTGTGTCTGTCTGTCCGTCACACTTTTTGGGACACAATAACTCTCTTCCTAATTGAGCTAGAATGTTCAAACTTGGTGTATGTGTTTATTAGGTCAATGCCTTGATGGAGTTCAAAGATGAGCATTTTCCGCTTAGGGTAAGCAGAGATAAGCAATTTGATTGGTTGATGCTTTGGGACACGATAACTCTCTTCCTAATTGGGCTAGAATGTTCAAACTTGGTGTATGTGTTGATTAGGTCAATGCCTTGTTCTAATTGGGCTAGAATGTTCAAACTTGGTGTAGGTGTTTATTAGGTCAATGCCTTGATGGAGTTCGAAGATGAGCATTTTCTGCTTAGGGTAAGCAGCGATAAGCAATTTGATTGGTTGATGCTTTGGGACACGATAACTTGAGTTCTAATTAAGTGAGAGTGATGAAACTTGGTGTATAGTTTTATTACATCAATACCTTGACTAAGTTCGATAATAAGCATTTTCTGCTTATGGGTAAGCAGAGCGATAAGCAATTTGATTGGGTGAGACTTTGGAACACATTAACTCTCCTTCTAATTGAGCTAGAATGTTCAAACTTGGTGTAGGTGTTTATTAGGTGAATGCCTTGATAGAGTTCGAAGATGAGCATTTTCTGCTAAGGGTAAGCAGAGATAAGCAATTTGATTGGTCGATGCTTTGGGACACGATAACTTTAGTTCTAATTAAGTGAGAGTGGGGACACTTAGTGTATAGGTTTATCTCATCAATACCTTGAGTAAGTTCCATAAATAAGCATTTTCTGCTTATGGGTAAGCAGAGCGATAAGCAATTTGATTGGTCGAGACTTTGGAACACAACTCTCCTTCTAATTGAGGAAGAATGTTCATACTTGGTGTAGGCATTCATTAGGTGAATGTCTTGATGGAGTTCGATGATAAAGCTTGTCTACTTACGGTCAGCAGAGATAAGCAATCTGATTGGTTGATAACTTTGGTTTTAATTAAGTGAGAGTGATGAAACTCTGAGTATAGATTCGTTATATCATTACCTTGACTAAGTTTGTTAATGAGAATTTTTTGCTTAGGCTAAGGATCGATAACTTTGATTCTATATGATAGAGAGTGATCAAACTTAGTGTATAGGTGATAATTTGTTTGATTGCTTGATATTTTTGAAAAAAAATAAATGTGCGATTAATGAATATGTGTCATCTATTTATTTTGGGATTTCGGCGGGGGACATCAGCCTCACTGTTGGCTTGTTCATGTTATTACTCGATGCCTTTATATTTTAATATATAAAGTATCACCTGGATAATCTTGTGGGTTTTTTTGTGTTATTGAGATCAGAAAGAGAGAATTTGGGGATCTTTAAACGTCAAGACATTGACATAAATTCAGGGTCTCGGGTCTGGCAGTAGATGAGTATGGTCACTTTTGAGCTGACACTTGCCCCCGTTTTCTCCGAAGAGCAGCTGTGGTCTGAGGGTAGACCGAAGAACCTCATCCCTTGGATTTCCGTGAACAAGCCATGGTCTCAGCTGTTTTCCATACACGCCTTCATTAAGACTGGAGAGACCACCCGACAGTTACCATTGGTGTTTTGTGTAATGTCGGGTAAAAGCCAAGACGACTATTATAAGGTAAATAGCACTTACTGATTGAATTACTATTAATAGTAAAAAAGGACTATTATTTGGGACCTTGAAATTGTCACAAATGGGTCGTAATAACAGCGACATTTGTTTCAGGCATATTTGTTTCATCGGTGACACGTCTGGTGTCATGTGAATGCAACGACAACAGCCTGGTTGATTGATTTGTTGATTGGAGTTCAGGTTGCCGTATTCACGGCCAGGCAAGACCGACTTGAAATTTCTAGAAATTTTTCTGGGGGAGACAGGCCCCAACAAATCCCCCGACGGTGCGTTTCACGACTTTGGCGCAAGACAGTGACCTTGAAGAGACGTCGAAAACCATTTAATAGACATAGTAAAAGTCATATCTTACGAGATTATCGCTGGTCTTGTCAGAAAATGCTATTTTATATATGACCAGTTTGTGTTTGAAAAATTTAATTATTTATTCTCCCACCATTAAAGCACACTAATTACGAAATATCGCTCTCAGAAACTTCATGGTTTCTTTTGCAATTTGTTTGGGGTAAGACGTTATATAAATAATATCAATCTGTCTACCACACAAATTTAACAGATACAAATGCATGTTATTCCACAGGTAGACAGACAGGGCCTCCTTTGAAGGGACTCAGTGAAGGGAACGCAGTTGGTTTAGAGTTTGTCTTACCCCTTTGAATATTTGCATCTCATCTCCAATGAAAACAATCATGTTGCTCTCATGCTGTTCTCAACCAGAATCAAACATATATCGTACCTGAGATTTGTTAGCATGTTCCACACAACCCAACATTTATCGGCACCGGGATTAAGGGTGTATATCTTTGTTTCTAACGCTTATTGGGAATACGCCACGGAAACTACAATAAAAACTTATTTACAAAAACATTCTAAAGAGGGAAAACTGACATATTTCAAGCTTTACTGTATTTAAAGAAATAATTTAAATCAGCCGGCTGAAACCCCGTCTCCGCTATTTGTTCAGTCATTCTTTAGGTATAGTGTCAGTTTCCACCGACAATGATATTGCAAACAAGTGTCCAATCTATAAAAGCATACATTCCTACAAAATGTTTCTTTAGTCAAGTGAAACAATAAATTCATGACTATGCGAGGGTGTGGTGAGTAAATTCGTGGTAACAAGTGTGAATAGGCTAATGTGACATAGAACAAGGTCACATTGATGTTGACAAATACGTAAGACGATATGAACATCAACTAAAAAGATATGTAATGTGATTTAGCTGCAAGGTGATACATGCATACATGTACATGTATATGCAGCATAGATAATTAAAACTTCTATTCAAGTTAAACCAACTGTATCTATTTATTTAAGTCTTACGTCGAGCTGAATACATTTTATGATTTATTTTCATCTATTGGTGGTTAACAGTGTGTAACTAAAACTAAAATTGGATCTTATTATTGCCAATGATATAATGTACATGTAATAGCAAGTGTATATATATTTTTTGTTCAGTCTGTACACAGTAACATATCTGAGAACCATATTATTATCATTTCTGCCCAAGGCTCCCTGTGCCTTATAGTTAGCAGTGATACAAGGCAATTACCAATTTTCCATGTTCTTGGCCTGAAGAAATAAAATAATAAAAGTCAAGTTTTTATTATTATGCAAGTGGAAAAATACAATTATTCATAGTATGATTTGAATAAATACAACTGATTTGAAGTTGGAATTATTATTTGTCTAAGATGACTGGGCATTTACAAATTGAAATAGCTACTCTTCATCAAGAAAATACATGAATATTTTTCCCAATTCACCTGGATTTTATTGTAGGTCTTTGTACGTGAAATAGCTTTATTTAACGTCCGCTACCACCGAAGTGATATTGCAGAAAATTAACAAATTCGGATTCCCTTTTAAAGGAAATTGACTGCACTATCGCTGGATTGTATTATATAGGTCATGTCAGTTTTTTTCAAAATGGCGCCCAGAACAAAAAACAAACATTGCAATTCAGGGCTGACTGGTGTCGAGGCTGTATCCTAAGAATGATTTTTTGAATATTTAATCACACAGAAACACAAGTATGCACATGCAGTTATGATATAATATTAAATTAGCTTACCTCAAATACCTCGAAATATACTGTTTGGTCAGTTTGTCCGCCCGCCATATTTCTATTAGTCACACATCCTTCGGCCAATTAAAATGGACGTATATTTTGTTTTAACCGAAACGAAAAAATTGCGTTATAAATAGTAAACGAGCTTGATTGACCGACCACTGCTAATGTTTTTTCGTGAAACGGTATAACTGCAATCAACACACGGCCGCCATTCTCGATGATTGACAACTCACGTTTTTCCTCATCCACCAAAGAACCGTTAGGTTTCTTTGAACATACTGTAATAACATAGGGATTATCAGTTAATCAGCTTTAATTATCCCGCTTTGATCGTTGCCATTTCTTATATTTTTCACAAAAAAACTTTGCCTTGTACGCACTAATTTATCAATTGGTATTGCCATCTACGACAAGCATGTCAACGTGCAGCTCACGGATTATCGTTAACAATTTCTAGGGGCTTGTAAAAAAAAGATTGCATGTCGTGTAAATATTTATTTTGTTTTTTGTGTAGGTCATTTTCAAATAAATTCATCAGCATATTATTCGTTTTAAATAAATATAAAACTTTTATGAGAAACGATGATTATCAAAGAACCGTAAGTGCAACTAATGTTTTATCGTTTGGTTGAGCCTTTTACTAACCACATGTTTCATGTTAATAAATATTTTCTTTCGTGTTTTGTTTGAATTGGCCTATTTCTAATAAATTATCCCGAGTCCCAAACTTCGTTAACCCGAGTCCCAAACGACGTATACCAAAGTCCCAAACGTCCTATACCGGAGTCCCAAATGTCGTGGTCATATTTTTTTGAGTCCCAAATGACGCGAGTCCCAAATGACGTGAGTCCCAAATGACATGTAATCAACCTAGAGTTGTTGTTAGTGTTTGTCGGATAGATCCTTTATACTTACTGGCGCTAGGTAATTTCGAGGCTAATATTGTTCAATTTTATTTGAATGATTTGCTTGCGCGTACCGTAGGAGTGTATTAGAAACAGTGTTTGCGCAGGTTCGAGAACGGCAGAAGAACATGAAAACACTTTCATGAGTCTCGAACATGAGAGAACGGTATCCATGGTAACAAGATGAATTAAATTTATACAATCTGTTACGATAACTTGTTTAGTATTTACTTCGCTATTAAGCATAATTTTGATAAATTATGACACCGTTTTACTCCTTTTCAATTCTTTGGATGACGATTACATCACCTTTTGATACGCCCTCGTCCGTAGGTTTGTCCGTCGTCTACAGAACTGATTATTTTGAAATTGATATGTTGTTTATTTTAATGAGATGAATCCTATTTAATTTCAATAATTTCTGTTAGTTTCTTCTGGAGTTATGGGCCTTGTTTCACTTTGTGAAATTCATTTGAATCTTTTAAATTAGTGAAACGAAGACGTCTATTAAATTTCTGCGATTTCTGTGAATTATGTCTAGAATTGTGGCCCTTGTTTCACTTTTTCGAACCTTGTGAACGCACGAACAACAAAATTATCATCCGATTTGTATGAAAATTGTATGCATTATTTAAATTAGTAAAACACAAAACAAAAAAATCTGTCAAATTTCAACAATTAAGGCCCTTGTTTCAGTTTGTAGAACCTTTGTAAACCCACAAACGACGAAAATTATAATCTTGTATGAAATTTTCTTGTAAATGCCCACATTACCTACAAAAGAATGAATATGCGACAATCCCTGTTGACTGCGCAAACGATTAAACTGCTGTGTGCATATGTTTCGTTGCCTGGCAACCTAACTTACTTGATGTTATACTGGCCACATACTACATCCAATTTTCGAACGGTATTAAACTTCTAAATTAATAAATGCACCCATGATGCTGTTTTCTCAGCAGTTATCGATGCGTCGACCTTTGTAAACCCACAAACAACGAAAATTATAATCTTGTATGAAATTTTCTTGTAAATGCCCACATTACCTACAAAAGAATGAATATGCGACAATCCCTGTTGACTGCGCAAACGATTAAACTGCTGTGGGCATATGTTTCGTTGCCTGGCAACCTAACTTACTTGATGTTATACTGGCCACATACTACATCCAATTTTCGAACGGTATTAAACTTTTAAATTAATAAATGCACCCATGATGCTGTTTTCTCAGCAGTTATCGATACGTCGACCATGTTTGTTCTCCCTCACACCAGCTATGAGGAAGTGTGGGATTTGAGAACGGGAATGTGTTCGTGAACGCATTCCAGACTGCTCAAGTCTGACAAGAACCCATTCTCCGTCCGTTCTCTGCACCGGAACACTGTTTCGAATACACCCTAGGGGTATTTAGCAAAGGGAGGAAACCGGAGGACCCGGAGAAAACCCACAAGGCTGGACAGGCGACCCTATTCCTAGTCACATTCAAGTGGGGAATCACATAATAATGGCCTATTTCAAATAAGATATTTGCATATAAAGAAAGTAGGCTTACAGCCTCTTTCAAAAGTGATATTTGCATATAAAGAAAGTACAAACTTAAATCGTCAGTGCTGGATAAACTAGCCAAAGGATTTGGCTGAATCAATTGGCGCTAAACTTCACCTAGTTTATCCACTGACATACGCCCGATCAAACATGTTTGATATATTTGGCTGAATTGTATTTGAGTGGTGTGTCCGCTTCGCCGAAGCATTCGTCTGATTTTAGAATTCATTAGCCAATCACCACTCATTCATATCGAGTGGGTATCGCAAACTAGCAGTCGAACTGTGACACGGGTGCTACAGCCAACAAATTCCAGCTACCATACTATCGGCTTAAATGCACGCCAATGGGACCTCAGGTTTTGTGTTCCATTGAAACGACTAGAAATGAAATGAAATGGGGTTTAACGTCCTACTGTTTTGCTCCGAACTGGGCTAATGAAGACAGGCATACACCACACAGTGTGCTATGAGGGAAATTTTGCCCGGACATCGGCACTGCGGTGTATCGAATTCCAACTGTCAAGGGATCGTTTTTTCATTTCATCCGAATGACTAGACAGTTGTCCGTCCTGCATCACTGACAAGGGGGAACCACGCCGGGAAATCTGGGTGAACTTTCTCGGCCAATGCAGGGATCGAACACCCGACCTCCAGGCTAGCGAGCCAGCGTCTTACCCACTTAGCCACCATGACGACTAGGCATGGAATCCATGCTGAAAAATTCAAATGAGCTTTCTCGGTCAACACTGGGAGCGAACCCGCAACCTCCCGGGTACCAAGCCAGTGCATTACACACTAAGCCACATGACTCGCTTCTAATTACTGTGACAGTCCAGTCACATGACAAACAAGGGTTATTAAAACAGATTTTCAAGGCTTGGGTAAGATCTTCGGGATTCAAATGGTTTTAGATATCACACAGTTTGTATATGGTAAGGTATCTTAAACAGTTTATTACATGTCACATTTTCATATTTTTCAGTTTCCATATTACATGTAGATGCCATAGCAAATCAAAGATCATATAATAAAATAAGTCAAAAAACCCAAATATGGAAAAAGAAAGAGCTGAAGAAATGGTGATTTGAGCACCTATGCTTTCTCATAGGTGTTTTTGGAGGGTGAGTGTTCAATTCTAATAGAAAAGATTGTTGTTATGGTATTTTAGAATCTCACCATAATGTGTTTGGCACAATATATCCCGGTTGGAGCTGATGTGACATAAACCTCCATTTCATTTTATTGTTTTGAAATTTAAAATTCAGTTTAGTATAGTAAATTTGTACACGTACATGTATGTGCACAAACAGAATCTTACTTATGTCCAGATACATGTAGATATGACTGTCTCATCTGTGGGGGACCACGGTGGCCAAGTGGGTTAGACACTGGCTCGCATATTTTAAGGTCGCGGGTTTGCAGTAAGACATTGCAGTACGGAGGACTGGGCTAATGAAGTTGGGCATATGCCATACAGTGTGCTACGAGAGAAATTTTGCCGGGTACCGTGACCTTAAGGCCTTCTCTTGTATCAAATTCTAACTGCCAGGGGATCTTTTACATGCACACCAATGTGTACACGGGACCACGTTTTTTTGTTCAATCTGAATGACTAGACAGCTGTCCTTGTCAGGCCCTCCGTCCTGCATCACTAACCAGAGGAAACCACGCCGGAAAATCTGGGTGAACTTTCTCGGCCAATGCAGGGATCGAACACCCGACCTCCAGGCGGCTAGCGAGCCAGCGTCTTACCCACTTAGCCACCATGACGACTAGACAGGGAATCCATGCTGAAAAATCCAAATAAGCTTTCTCGGTCAACACTGGGAGCGAACCCGCAACCTCCCGGGTAGCAAGCCAGTGCCTTACACACTAAGCCACATGGCTCTCTTTTAATTACTGTGACAGTCCAGTCACATGACAATCAAGGGTTATTAAAACAGATTTTCAAGGCTTGGGTAAGATCTTCGGGATTAAAATGGTTTTAGATATCACACAGTTTGTATATGGTAAGGTATCTTAAACAGTTAATTACATGTCACATATTCATATTTTTCAGTTTCCATATTAGATGCCATAGCAAATCAAAGATCATATAATAAAATAAGTCAAAAAAACCCAAATATGGGAAAAGAAAGAGCTGAAGAAATGGTGATTTGAGCACCTATGATTTCTCATAGGTGTTTTTGGAGGGTGAGTGTTCAATTCTAATAGAAAAGATTGTTGTTGTGGTATTTTAGAATCTCACCATAATGTGTTTGGCACAATATAGCCCGGTGTGGTTTCCTCTGGTTAGTGATGCAGGACGGAGGGCCTGACAAGGACAGCTGTCTAGTCATTCAGATTGAACAAAAAAACATGGTCCCGTGTACACATTGGCGTGCATGTAAAAGAGCCCCTGGCAGTTAGAATTTGATACAAGAGTAGGCCTTAGGGTCACGGTACCCGGCAAAATTTCTCTCGTGGCACACTGTATGGCATATGCCCAACCTCATTAGCCCAGTCGAAGCTGAACAGTAGGACGCCAAACCCCATTTCATTTCATTTTTTTCATTTTGTCTCATCTGTGACAAAGCAAACCAACACATTACAATACAATTTAATTAAATTAAAACTTTCGTCTATTTAAATATTGAATCGATTTAAGTCAACTAAAACATAGTATGTTTTTTTTCTCAGTTAACTACATCAGAAAGATCAAGACAGTTGGAAATGGCTATTCATATTATGGAAACTTTTTCTCACAGAGCTTGATAATCAGGTAAAATGTAAGTAACATACATATTTGTATTTTTAATCATCAACTAGTTCTATACACTTGATTGGTAATCTAGTTATTCTTCTTGGGGCAATGCCTAGGACTCTCCTATTCAAGTCTTGGCATTCTTGATTTTTGACAATCACATCCATTGATTTTCTTCAAGTTGTGATAGACCCTATGTGTATTTTTACAGTAAATAGCAGTATAAAAATGGACAATATTTTACTTTTCAAATAGATTTTAATAGGTAATATCCAATTTGTTGTCGATGGAAATAAAATATAATAATCTGCCTGGGTCTGTTACTGGACAAGACACAATAAGTGTTACCCAAAGATGAAACAAAATAGACTCAGTCTCGATGTGGCAAAATAAATTGTTTATTTAAACATTGTGAACCATAAATAGTAAGAAAGTATTCTTATTGCCTACTTTTTATTTTTTAGGCTGGAAGATTATTTGATGTATGATAACAACAAGAGATCCCAAGCATCAATTTATTTTATAATTCTGGAAAAGAATGCATTTGACCCAATTTTTGAATATTTTTTTTTGTTTTTACTGTTAAATATTCATCCCAAACACAATTAGATTTTAATTCTCTACAGAAATTTATGTATAATATAGAATGTAAAGTGACATATAAATCACTTAGAATTTGGTCGGAAATCATAAAGTATTTAATAGGCATAGTCTAGAAACCAAATGTAGATCAAATATACCCAGAATTACAAAAAACCTTGACCTACATTAAGGTGACTTTCCCTTGCTTATGAAATGAAATAGGGTTTAATATCCTACTTTTCTGTGTTATTATGGTGATTCTGCCCTACAACCTACAACCTACTCTTATATCAAATATTTCAACTGTCAAGGGTTGTTTAAAGGGAACCCAGGAGGGCCGAATGGTTAACACACGCACATTGGATCAGAAGGGTCTGTCATTGAGTCAGATAATTCGATTGTCAAGGGTTCTTTAAAGTAAACGCAGTGGGGGTAGTTTCAATTCTGGGCTTATACCCAATTATCCCTTGCCATGTCCTACACTACTGACGTGTGGGAACTATGTCGGAAAATCCAGTTGAAATTTCTCGGCCAATGCACTCACTGAACCACAGTGGCTCCTCCTTGCTTTTGACTTGTGATTATTTATATATATTTTGTACATATTATTTAATGTTTGCGATTTTCTCTGATATTTTTTTATTTTTCAATCCTGTAATCTTGATGCTTTGCTCCTTTTATGTAAAAAATATTCATTTTGTTTGAGGAAAAGGTTCTACATCATTTTATTACTCCTGCAAAATAGTGCATTTTTCTTTTGTTAGTTTTCTGTGTATGCTAGTTATTTCTAGATGCCTCACAAATCACTTGTAATATGATTTTGTAGCACTTTTCAGTTTCTGAAAGTATTTCAATTTAGTGCATAGTTAATATAATTAGGGCTTGGTTTGGATGTTATTAAATTTAGATATATTTGAATTATATATTTTTGGGGTATGGGGTAGGGATCTTTCTTTTCTCAGTTCTTGTTTTCGGGTAAAGAAAAAATTAAATAGCTATTTTGTATTTTGTGATGTGGGGGGAGGGGGGCAAAGTATAACAAAAATTTTATTAGTATTAGAATTATATCTCTGTTTTTCTGTTAACATTTCAAATGATGTCTATTTAGTTTTGATTTGGTGGTGTTAATTTACTTTTTCCTATCATTTTATGAATAAATGATAATTTAACAAATAAAATTATTGTTACCTCATTTATCAAACTTTACAGGTTAAACAGAGCAAAAGGGGTGGGGGGCTGCATGGGAAAGATTGCTAAATTGAGGGAAAATAAAACACAAGTTTTTGTTGGTGGTTATACACACGTTTTTATGAAACCACACAAGTTTCAGAAATTTCAACACAAGTTTCAGAAATTTCAACACAAGTTTCAGAAATTTCGACACAAGTTTCAGAAATTTCAACACAAGTTTCGACACAAGTATTGTGTAGATTTTCACACAAGTTTGTGTTGTTTGGTAAGACAAATTTTGTTGATAAAGTGGTTTCAGGAAATAAATATGTCCCAAAGGTTGCCCCCACTACCCTACCGCAAAGTATCTATCAAATTAAGTTTCAAATCCAACTGGTCAAAAATGTTATACTTTGCCCATGGAATGTACCACTGCCCAACCATTATGAAAGCAGTTAACGTCATATAATGCAAGCCATTTAGCCCAATCATCACGAAAGCAGTTAACGTCATATAAATATAATGCAAGCCATTTAGCCCGCTTTAGGAAACACTAATTTTAATCAACCTGAATCTGCACCAGCCAAGGAACATACCTATCAAATTAGCTTGGAACCCCCCAGATGCTTCAGAAAGAGAATTTTAAAAATATAACGAACGGGCGGCGGACAGTGGGGATGATATAAAGTTAATAATTTGATCATACATGTTTCTCTCATAAATAAATAATAATATTAAACTATAGATATTTACTGATATAGATAATAATATTAAAAACTATAAATATTTTACCAACTGTCCATAAATAATATAGTTACCTGAATAATCGTCAAGTCCTACGACATAATGCAAAACTAGGAATACATAAGCAAAAAACAAAGCGTTCTTCATCATTGCTGGATAGATGTCTTCTTTCCCGTGCTCATAAATTTTATATATTCAAACTAGCTGACCAGTGATGTGTAACGCTTGCTCAGTCATGCAGTTCAATTTACCAACAAACACAAAAACAACTTACATAAAAAAATGATGGTGCAAACGGTCAAGTCGTGAAATCTATACATTATAAGAGAGGTCAGGTTAACGTAAAAACAGATATTTTCAGAAATTTTAAAACGGACACCAACAGTTTATTATAAGCAAAAATAGCTTTATGTTTAGAAATTTTGGCGTACGTGGGACACTCAGTGCTTCTTAAAATATAATAAATTCTCGCAGTTAATCATATCAAAATTGACCAGTCAGTTTTGCCCTAAACTGAAAGTTGTTACTACACAGTAAAGATTCAATGCTTTGTATATTTTGTTAAAAATTTATTTTATTGCCTCCACTATATACGAACAAAACTGTATTATTTAAACATAATGCACAGGTAAATGTCTCGATGTATAATATTGCATTTAGGAATATTGAATCTGATTGTTGACAGTACTCTATGTATATTATAATAATAAGAGATACCTACACTACGACAACAACTATTATTAAACATACATTATGCAAGAGGTACGACAACAACTATTATTAAACATACATTATGCAAGAGGTACGACAACAACTATTATTAAACATACATTATGCAAGAGCTAAATCTGCCTATTTGCAGGTCCTTCTTTAGGCCTGAAATGTTTTTTTAAATTATTAATTAGACATTAATTAACTTATCCAGGCCATAATCAACTCTTGATGGCATCTGGCCCCTGTTTCTCGAAATCTTAACTAAAGATAAAATCCAATTTTAGTAGATATTCACTCGCAATAGAGTAATTCGAATGAAATTTTTAAATTATTAATTTTACATTACCTATTTTCGAACTATTATAGCAAGAATGGCTAGCTCTTTATCTAAAGCTTATATAGTGTATGTAAACGAGTAATTCAGTTTCTGTAGAATTGGGGTTAATAACCTCTTAAAAAATGTAAAGGTTGTATTGTCATCAAAGAGATAACCTCAAACCTAAATACTCATTGGACTCTGGAGGCACTACACAACCCTTGGTCAATTTTGTAGGAGTTTAAATGAAAACTATCACTTTTTCACCAATGAAATATTAACATCGGTTTAAATTACATCTTACTATTTCATTTGTTGCATGTATGTTTTGATTGCAAATTTGTTTTAATGTTGATCTATTTTATGATCATCGTATGCAATCTGACTGGCATGTTACACCGTGCTAAGGGTTGTATCCATTGTTCTTGACATTGCCCACCGTCGTTTGGACATTGCGACTGAGCCTGATGTGTCTAACACCACCAATAGTTCATTTCTAAAACTGAAATTTGCTAATAAAGGCATTGATGCTATCGGGTTAAGCCAAATATTACACCATAAGCAAGTCACAGCACACATCTCTCCTTACTTTAAAACTGTTACTGTTCCTAGGATTTCTTATACGTATACTAAACCTATTGCATCCAAAATATTAAATACAGAAACGCATTATCTAACATCAATGCAAAAGAAATATATGATAACCCTCTACCCTGTTCTTACTCTACGTCGTCCTTCATTTACCAACCAGCTGGACGTGTAGTCACTGGTGATTTAAACATAGTCCAGAATAATTAATTACGTGAGATTTTGTCTAAAGGACCCTAATACCGGGAACCGCAACCATTTTCATGGAATCAAAATTTCAAACTTATTATGGATGCCGTAGAGGACTACGCTAGATCATGGGCCAATGGGGGAAGATGTTATCTCTGATACTCTCTCAGATTGGACTAATTCTGTTGGAAATCTCAACGCCTTACATGACAAGTATGTCATTGTACCGGCTGACAAAGCGTCCAATAACTTAGTGTTTATATGTAAACGATATTAGTATGACTGCCCGTTCAAAGAACTTAATTTCGGGAAGTCAATCGACAGTGCTACTTATAAACGCTCTACTCTTAGTAAGGATGAAATTATATCCAATCACAGATCTGTACTCACTTCATTTGGTACTCCATGTGGAGATACCTATACAGATCTGCCCTTGTTATATTGGATACCTAAACTACATAAAAATCCCTACAAGCAACGTTTTATAGAAGGTTCATCCCGTTGTTCCACAAAACCACTTTCAAAAGTATTGACATCCATACTAACGGCAGTGAAAGAGGGTATTCAAAAATACTGTGACAAAATATACTCTCGTAGTGGTTTTAATCAAATGTGGATATTAAAAAATTCCAAAGAATTACTTGATTGTTTGCAATCTAGATCACTTGCTTCAATCTCATCTATACAAACGTTTGACTTTTCTACTTTGTACACTAAAATTCCCCATAGTAAATTAAAAGCTCGGTTAAAAGACATTATTCACAGTGTCTTTTCATCTAAATCGGGAAATGTTAAATATCAATATTTAGTTGTTAATTACAATTCCACACATTTTGTTAAGAACCATAGTGATTCTAAAAATAAATTCACCGCCAACAAGATAATTCAGATGTTGGATTTTTTAATTGATAATATCTTTGTTGAATTTGGAGGGGAAATTTATCAGCAAGGGGTAGGTATCCCCATGGGCACCAACTGTGCACCTTTGCTTGCTGATTTGTTTCTCTATTCCTACGAAGACGATTACATACAGACACTCGTAAAATCAAATAAACGATTAGTCAGACATTTTAATTTCACTTATCGATATATCGGTGATGTTCTATCACTGAATAATCCAAAATTTAGTGATTATGTAGAATTCATATATCCTGACAATTACGCTTCCTACTTGGATCGGCGTCTCGATTTTGACAATTGCCATAAACTTAGTGTTAAATTGTAAGATAAATGTGATGACTTTGACTTTACGATTGTTGTTAACTTTCCATTTATTAGTAGTAACATTCCGATATCACCAGCTTATGGAGTGTTTGTGTCTCAACTAATTCGTTATGCGAGAGCTTGTTCATTTTATTCTGATTTTTTAAGTAGATCGAGGCATTTGTCATCTAAGCTTCAACTACAGGGATACTTGCGAACTAAACTTATATAAACCTTTAAAAAGTTTTATGGCCGTCATATTGACTTGATTGGTAAATATAACATGTCTCTCTCGGCTATTATTCTAGATATTATTTAATTGACGCGTATACTATCTCCCTGATAATGTCTGTCTACTACATCGTTAACACTGTTTATCACGTGCATTTTGCATACCGATAGTCCATTGGCCAATCACGCTATTTTACCGAAATTTCGCCTAATAGTTTGGATGCAGCTATGGCGGGTGTGGCGCCAGGCGTGGTAAGCTTACTCTTCCGGACACCTATTACCACTGTTTGTCATGTATTTTGTACACGGTGAACAGTCCATATGCTGATTACACTATTTTGCCTGATTACACTTTTTTGCCTATACCGTTTTTTTAGGACTTCGAATTTTGTCTAATGGTTTGGATTGTTCGTACTTAGTTTTATTTTATTGTTTGAGTTGTCTACATAGCGCGACCAAGCCAGAGTTCATCCAAGGACTAACGATAATTAACATGGGTTTACACATCGCGGTTAATTTATTATATTTGGTAAATTGGAATATGATAAATTTGGAAGCGCGGATAAAAAAGGCACTAAGTCGATTTATTAGGAAGGTAAACTTGCGTCTCTCTCGGATAATAAATAGCATTTGGTACTTAGTGGACGAAACACATAGCAAGGAGCTAAGCACAATAATACATTTAATGGGAGTCAGGCATTGGCAGCAGGAAGATATTCAGATTCAAGTTTCATAGACACTTCCGCATTTCTACCCTGTAATGTACTAGAGCACGATATAACCTCTTACTCAGAACTGACCAGTTTTATCCACTAAAATATATGTCGTGTGAATTTGATTGGACGATTCGTGTATTGATTTATCGGGCCTACCCCTACGGTCGACAATCCTTACTGTCACATAATGTTTTATGATTGATAACGAATATAGATTAACACCCCTTATCGTCTTTTATTGATGGTCTGAGATGGTTTCCTTTTGTGTACATAGTTTAACAGGTGTTCCGTCTTATTTCAGCTCATTCATCAAATCAATTCCATTCAATAACATATCATTCGAGTAAACTGGAATTTTCAGAGATTTTGGAAATGATACTGCAGAACAAACTGAAATCTACTTGTCTGAAATAACGTTTTCGACAAACTAAGAATTATCAGTCTTCTAGGCTGTTGCTCTATACGAGCATTATAATTACATTTCAGAAAAATTCAGGAAACGCTTAAAATCAGTTGTTTAATCGGATTAACTACCTGGATTAAGGATTTTGAGATTGATTGTGTGACAAAACATTATGTCCGGAAACGGAGTATAAGAAGACATAGTGAATATAGGAGAGAATGAAAAGTACTAAGAGTTTTTGGTCTTTTTATTTATCTATGCCAACTAAATAAATGAGAAATGGTATAATGCGTTGTAGGAATCCTAACCCGCCACTACTTCATATGTTTCCGGTAACAGTCATGCGATTTAATAAAACCGAATAAAACAGGTATGTTATCTAACAATGGTATGGTAAAGTAAAAGGTAAATATCTTTTAAGTAGCTATTACATACCGAAGTCCCTCCTTGTGCTGTATGCAAAGTAATAAATTCTTAAATTTGTTAATAGTAATTAAACTTGATCTTTATAATGTCTTACGAGGCCTTTTTGAAATAAAATATGGATTTTCTTCTTTATTAAAAAATAGCCTGTTATGTCTACTGCCCCTAAAATTTAAAGCATTAAACATAGAATTTAATCTTTTCATTGAATGGTTTTATTTCATAACGGTCATGTCCCTCCGTTGACCGTTAGGAAATACTAGACATGTATTCAGTGTTGGTAATACCCATTGTTAAATATTTTCAGTTTTAAATCCAGAGAAGTTACCGGATAGTCGTCTTTCGATGCATAACAACAGTAGCATATGTGGACCGCATGGCGGATTCAGTGATAACTTTAAAAGAAGTATGTTGATTCCTCTGTCCATTTCAATACTTGTAACTAATGGAGTAGTCTTGTTCACCTTTTGTGCCAAAAAAGATTATTCTCGACCGGCATACTGGTTCATGGTTTCCTTAACCGTTGCAGACATATTTGTTGGCTGTGTTGCAATAGCGACCTTCGTAACCCGTGGTAGAGACTTCACACTTCATTCGTGTTTAGTTCGCTTTGGATTTACTATAACCGCAATACAAACTTCAATTCAGTGTTTGTTATGGATAGCCATAGACCGTTATATTGCCATAAAGCATGCTTTGGCCTATACTAGAATCATGACACCGTGCAAAGTTGCCCAGGCTAATATCTACCTTTGGACACAGTCTCTGGTTATCGGATTTCTACCTTTAATAGCATGGAATGATGGTATTTATCACCAGACATACTGCTCGTTTCTCTATGTACTCAGTCCTTGTTACGTCATATTTATGTTCACTACAGCATCAATTCCAATTGGGATCATTTTCATAATTTATTTGATCATTTACAGACAAGCAAGGAGGCATATCCGAAGGATCAATGTCATGGAAAACCTGGGATGCCTAAATAAAAATAATGGTGTTTTAGGAATATCTAGTCAAGGATGGAAGTCGTTAAAAACTTTAATATGCATTACTGGATTTGTAATGATTACGTGGTGCCCGTTTTTAGTTACAACTATAGTGGTGTTAATAAATGAAGAACAGAACTGTTATTTAAAAGATATAGTTGGAACATACCTGCTGCTGCTTGGATTTTCTAATTCATTTTTTAATCCTTTGATATACGCCTTTCGGAGTAAAGATTTCCGTGTGGATTTTTCCAGTATGGTGAGGCGTGTATGTCATAAGATAAATTGTAATAGCTAAGATAAATTTTAGAGTAATTTGGACGTAGGTTTCGACATGTAAGCACGAGCCCTGAAGAGCTTTTGAGTAGGATACTATAATTCTAAGTGTGCCATAAACCTGTTAATTTATTTTAAAGTGCGCCGTTTTACCACGAATAAATATACAAAACATTATACAAATATACTTGTCCTCGTTATACTGTAAAAGAATAGGGTTACTGGCCCATCGATTACAAATCTTATGATACTGAACAAGTGGGTCATCGCAGAGCAGAAAGGGGGTGGGGGTCGGGGGTAGGGAATAGGAGTAAATCGGCGGGACGATTTACCCAATACTACCCAATACCACCCAATGCCACTCCAATACCACTCCAATGTCACCACATACTACCCAATACTACAACATAATGGTGCCAAATGAGCATATTACTTGATCTTTTTCAAAAATAGTGAGATATATCGTGGGAAATGTACTTCAAATGTGATTACCGATGTCTGGCTGTTCCATATGCCTCCCTATATCACCCAAATCAAGCAAATAATAACCCAATACTACCAAATACTTATCAAATACTACCAAATACTACAAAATACTACCCAATATTATAAAATACAAACCTAATATCGTCAATTAGCAGCACATCGGTATAATAATTACAACGAATATTCGATAATTACAGAAAATTGAAATATTTACGCAGTTATCTCCCTTTACAACTGACAAATAGATTTTAGATTGCTACTCAAATTAATCATTTCGCGCGTTATAACTCTCTATTTTGGAAAAAAATCAAACGATATGTCTATTTTGCATCATTATGTTGTAGTATTGGGTAGTATGTGGTGATATTGGGGTGGTATTGGGTAGTATTGGGTAGTATTGGGTAAATCGTCCGACCCGGAGTAAATGAACACGTCTTTACTCGGTTTTACTAGTGTCACTAACTACACGCCATTCTAATTTGGAATACCAGTTGAATGTATTCGACAGATGTAATTATTTTTAATTTCTAGTCGAAAAGTCAGTATTTATTCTACTTCGACTGTCATATTTAATGAAATCGGAAAATGTCTTTAAGCGTATGAAAGGTTTAAACGGATTAGAATTCAATAACAAAACTAATTTTTCTATTTATTTAGAGCAGATGTCTATCCACAAAGCAGATCGTTCTCTGTGTCCAAAATGTATGATTGTCCATGGCAGTGCTATATTTATTTACCCCTTTTTTATAATTCGATTAATTACACACATATTATAAACAATTTGACTGATCAATCATTTCGGGTAAGGTGTACACCGACCCAAAAATTATCGGTCAAATAGCAGTACATCAAACATATATGAAATGATAAGTGGTTCGAAACGTATAAGAAAAAAGATTTATCTCCCTTGATTTAACATAAGTATAAACCACATTATAATGTCAATATAAAGCCAAATAATCGGTACACAATATCTGTTGATCATTTTGGTAATCTTGAGACAAATATGTCGTAATCTTTATTTGTATGCTTACGTTGCAATGCGAGGTAGGGCTCTTTTACAGGAACAGTGTCGCATTTAACAAAATTCTAGTTTTCAGAACATCATTGTGTCACTAATTCGTGCCAAAGAATGGTTATTTATGTAGAAAATAGACGCTATCAAAGACCCTTCAGGACTAGTGTTATATGACTACTTCTATTAGACCGAGAAACAATCGTAGCTACGGCGTTTTGTGCACACTGTAATTTATGAATAAGGTTTTGATTTATACCCGGTTTAGACTGTTACTTTAATCAATTCCTGATATAGAGATAAGGTTTGACGAATGTGTCTTAAATAGAGGTAGAAAGTTATAAAAAGATGATAAACACGCTTTTTACATCACAAGTTCCTCCGCCAAATATTAACCAAGATCTTTGACATTGTGCCGGGAAAATGCTTTTTGACACCGTTTAATATGATTACCGTATTTTTTTTTGTATTTTTTTTAAGCAGTTTTAGCGTCATCCAGGAATTTATTTGTACAATTTAATATTATATTGTAGTTTGAATGTAGACAATGATATTAGTATCATCCGCGTAGCAATAGTAAAGAAAATTGAACTTTTAACAAATATTAGCAATGCGGGACCAAGTATTGGACCCTGGGACACTCCATTTACTAGGGGTTACTAAATCAGATATAATGTGGTTAAGATCTGATCAGCCTGATTTCGAAAATGTAAGATCGAAGGTGTCAAAGACAGGGGATAAGTCCAACATTACCAGTGATTAACAAGCAGTAGATAGTAACCGCTTTCCTGGTTGGTATTCGACATAGAAACCATCTAGATTGGCCGCTATCTGACTTACACATCCACACAAACTATAAAGATTATCGCCAGGTATTAGTTTACTTGTGAGTGATACTTGAAGTCCAGGTTATCCAATATCACCCGCTTAACAGTTATTGAGAGTTAATATTACCCCCTAATGACTTGAATAAGGGTAGATGGGGAACAGCCACCTTTAAACATCTATAGTTGTTCGAATCATTCAAAGAATCTAGGAACAAGATCAAAAAGCAAAATAAACCAATGGCAATCAAAATATCGAGTGCACGATAAGGTATACCACGCAAGTTTGGTCAAAACCGATACAACAGTGTGGGAGATATGCCCCGGAAAACCAACTCGCAGCATGACATCTCCACTATAATGGTAAACTATCCGCTGTGTCCTGTGCTGTTGAACCAACAATATGTCGACAATAATTCAATGGAAACATCTCTTTATGGATGTCTACTTGATTAACAGCTACCTAAACCAGATACACGCGTTGTAATAAAAGATGGGGCCTGTCTTAAAATCTAAATATGGACAGATTGTGTCGATGTGACATTAAATTCCCTTTCATTCCATTTCCCCATTTCCAATAAAACCATAAGACCTTTTCCAAGAAAGCCGGCTAGATTAACAAACGTCACAACAGTAAATTGTACAGGTATTGTATAATATAACATTATCACGTGACGCGTACCTACAAAGCGTGTTAATCTATCTTGTTATTTGATACGATCTATATGAGAGCTAAGCAAGATCATATGTTTACAGGCATATCTATACTCGCTGAGACAAGTAGGTATATGTGTCGAGGTCGCCTATGTTATTGTCGATCAGCAGTGCACTGTTTACATGTAAGTACCTATTATATTAATACAGTTTATGCTGGAATCATTAACTAATAGGCAGTACCTGGTTTTTATTTTTATATATATAAACAAAGAACGTATTAAGGAAATTGGATGCTGTATAAAATATATCCTCGAACTAGTTCCTAGAAACACTTTCTAACCCGGATATAATAATACCCTTCTAACATGTCTCTCTACCATATCATATAATTATAAATAATTGATGATACAAAATATAAGTGGCATCAGTCATATGCGTTAACACAATCTTGAACTATCTTGAAGTTAACATACACAGTGCCATGGAGTTTTATAGATTTTTATGCTTTGTGAAACAAGACCCGGGGCAATGTCACATATGTGGTTGCATATATATACAAATTCGTGATGTTTAAGTATAATTTTATCAACCAAATGCAAAGTCCGTCTTTATTCGTACTTAAGTGAAATTGCCACCTCTTTAAAAACAAATTCGCCTATAAAGGAATGCCCAGTAAGCATCATGTAGTTACAGATGTTTTTAATGTAACTAATTCATTTGTGAGATAACTGGAACGCTCTATATAGAGCAGGAAGAATTTACTAAAGATACATACATGTATTATTACTAATATCAGCCCCCCCCCCAGTCTAATGTATATTTTATGGGGCCCTTTCCACTGCCGTGCGATGAGTCATAGGATTGTTCCTATTGAGTCCACGATCTGCTGCATGCAGATACGTTCTTATAGACTTTCAACTGCCTTTCTCGCGACAAGGCATTTTTACTACTCAGGTTATATCCCATTCTGAAATCTGTTTTTCCATTCACCAATCTACCGTATCTGTCTACACCCTAAGCTATACTAAATTTGTAACATTTGACCAGCCATAGATTTTTACCGTCGAAATCAGTTGATTTGTGGATTGGTATGATTTACAGTCCAGCCCCATTGGTATTTGTAGGGAGCCGCAGTAAGGTACTGGACTGGCGTTTTGGTATTAGCGGGCCCGGGAAGGAACAGCTTCTGGGGATTCGTTGTGAATAACAACCGAGGTCCTGTGTAGACCTAGATGCGCACACAGATCCCTCGGCAGTAGTTGCATTTCGAAATCACATTAGGTAGTGTATGCCTATTTTAATTAGTCCAGTTGGTGCAGAACAGTAGGACGTTCATCCCCATTCATGTCATTTCTCTTATTTGCAAGTGTTTGCTTGGATATAGGTAGTCTCGAATCACAGTAGGTTACGTGATAAGGACATCATGGGAAGGCTTTCACACAACTGACAGTGCATTTATGGCCCCGACCCGGATTTGATTTCTACTGCTCCGATCCAGTCGATCAAGTATTAGTATAATATAGCTCAGTCTGTCTTATGCCCCTTTTGCAGTGGCGCAATGTCAACAAACACAACCCTTGTGGGACGTCTATCTGTTTGGAAAGTCACGTTCAACAAGAAAATAGACACAATGTCTTGAATATAACCATATAGCTCACCTTATTTGAGATTTTACTAACCAATGACCACTGAACTACTGAACCACCCCATATCCCAGTGATGAATTTTGCATATTATACATGTTAATATAACACCCTCCGATGTAACTATTAGTTGACAACTTGAATTACAGCAAACCGAAAATTAAATTTTTACCGAGATCCCCAAAGCGGCATACCTCTTTAAAAATAAACTGTCGCCAAGCCTCGCCAGACAAGAAATAATTTTGTAACCAACCGAAAGCTCTGAGAGATATTTCATTCCACTTTAAATACTTTAAATGAATGATTGATATGCAAATTATTCGATATTGATGATTAATAGTTAAGTGAACCTTGTAATTTAATCACTTAATAATAATATAGATATCTGCGTTTATAGGAACATAATAATGTCTCCTACGTCATTGTTTATCGCCATTTAATCAGAGTAGGTTAAAGGGGAAGACCAACGATTTTCAATAAGGTTTCCATAAATAATAAATATATATTTAGAAATAATCCCTCCTATAACATATGCAAAAAATAATTTGCAAGCGAGAAATTAATTTTTATTAATACCGGAAGTGACGTAGTTGGTTCGACACGCTCACTGGTCACTATAGTAAACATACAAATTTGGAGCAAGTTTAGCGCTGTATTTTGTGATCGTTTCGCCGTTTGGCAGAAAATCTGATGAAAGGTAATCTTTATTAGGATATTAAGAACAAGAACTTACGGTGTTTTGAAGGTATAATATACAACGCGTTTGTGTAAATTAAGTTTCTAAACTGGACACTGTGACACAATTTAAGCCACATGGCTAATTGTTTACATCGCGTGATAGCTGGCACGTGACAGATATTAACCGAACACAAATTGGCGACCTATTCAGCTAGCGACCTATTCGACCGATCCAGCTGGCAACCTGTTCGTTGGCAACCTATTCAGAATGAGAGCGCACCCCTTTAATATGATTGTGCCAACTTTTACTAATAATATTTCGAAAGCTTATTTAATATATTTAGTTGGATGTCCAGAATTTTGTAAGATAATGCGAAATTACATCTCTATTCTGAGCTAAAGGAATGGATAAATGATAATATATTCTACTTTCATTTGATATACGTTACGTTGGATTTTATTGGTTGATAAAATAGATGAGTTTGGGCGACTGTTGAATTTATTCTGAATAGGTTGCCAACGAACAGGTTGCCAGCTGGATCGGTCGAACAGGTCGCTAGCCGAATAGGTGGCCAATTTGTGTTCGGTTAATATCTGTCACGTGCCAGCTATCACGTGATGTAAACAATTAGCCATGTGGCTTAAATTGTGTCACAGGGTCCAGTTTAGAAACTTAATTTACACAAACGCGTTGTATATTATACCTTCAAAACACCGTAAGTTCTTGTTCTTTATATCCTAATAAAGATTACCTTTCATCAGATTTTCTGCCAAACGGCGAAACGATCACAAAATACAGCGCTAAACTTACTCCAAATTTGTATGTTTCCTATAGTGACCAGTGAGCGTGTCGAACCAACTACGTCACTTCCGGTATTAATAAAAATTAATTTCTCGCTTACAAATTATTTTTTGCATATGTTATAGGAGGGATTATTTCTAAATATATATTTATTATTTATGGAAACCTTATTGAAAATCGTTGGTCTTCCCCTTTAAGTAGTAGTTTAACGTCCGCTTCTACTGAAATTGGTATTTCCCGGGAAAAGGTCAGTCATGATTGAGAGACCACGACCAGCATACTGTAGGATAGGAAATGCTGTGTGAAAATGGGTGGTTTTACATAATTTTTTAATTAGTTTTTATGAACCTATTCAACTGAGTTGTTGCTGAGAAAGCTGCACCGCCAGTGAGGTACTTTCTAAAACTGTGATTCGTTTGACCTACACCTTTAAATCTACCAACTCACCGAATACAGGTGACAGCAAAAGGATAAAATCATTGATAGCATGATTATGTGAAATTGAAAGCAAGAATGCGCACATTTCCAAGTGGTGAGCGAAGAATAGTGAATTCAATAGGCTTCATCCTGTCATGGTCCCAATTTGACGAAAACCGTTCAAGAAGTCTAGGCTTCATCACATTTACAGGGATTTTCTGAACGACGGACGGACAAAACAACGGATGAAAATCGATGGGGTTCCTGCTTTCATGGTCCCAATGCTTCGCGCTAAATTTGACCGTATCAAATCGTTCAAACTCATTGCGTTAACAGAATATTGTTGAGTGATGGGCCCCCGTTTAAGTCGATTGAATCGAAACCGGGAGATTATCTAACGTTGACATTTTTTTTAATATTCACTTTGAGTACATATATTAGCGCGATATTATTCTTAATATTTTCATACGTCATTTATAACATGTTAATTATCTTTAGTTGTTTAAAGACGATCATTATTGAGCAATACAACCTTTAATAAACCCTACTATAGAAGTCAGGGTCTATTTCGTGACTTAACATTGCACACTTTCTAGTATATTATGACATTATCAATGAACGACCCATAAATTATATCACAAATTTCTTAAGAATCATAAGTTTGCCTTTCGTAGAAATCTGTATTGCACACTTTCTAGTGTATTATGATATTATCAATGAACGACCCATAAATTATATCACGAATTTCTTAAGAATCATAAGTTTGCCTTTCGTAGAAATCTGTATTTCTAATACCGCGTATTCTACATAGTCTGTAGTTTCTAGAAAAAAGAACATACATTTCAATTCTAGTCGGGAACCAGATAACTTTTGTTAGGTAAATTATTCATCTTATACAAAAATAGTTTCACGAATGTTAAATATCCTTATGATATAGACGACACACGAAGAGCACACACGCGCGATTGTATGACAAATGCAATAGTATTAATTTTCCAGTTACTTTTATTAATGTGTCTATCGAGACATCATGTTTATAGCGTTCTGGTATGAATTTGATAGTTAATTCAAAATTATTATAAAGGAACCAAATGATATCCATATATAGGTTAAGTGTTGGTCCTTTTCTCATTGGCTTCATGAGGATGTTGTTGATATTAGGTCAAGTGGAACGGACAAATATCCTGTTCAGGGGTTGATTAGTAGGGAAAATAAAGGAAACGAAATAAAATGGGGTTTAACGTCATACTTTTGTGCACCAACCGGGATAATAATAAAGACGAGCATTGTGTACAGTGGGGGAATTTTGCCCGTACAGTGATTTTTCGGCCTAGTCCTACTCTCCAACTGCCTAGGGTTATTTTACATCCCATCCCTACTACTACTAGACGTGGATCCTTGACAATCCACAGTCTTGCAGCATTGACAAGGGGGAAACCATGCTGGAAAAACCCCAGGGAAATTACGCGGCCAACACTGGGATGGGACCCGGAACCTCCTGGCTAATGAGTCAGCACCCTTACCCACTGAGATATAGTTACGCAACATCATATCACATCACCATGTATATATATACGATAGTTTCTAATTTTACACAAGTGACTTGATTTAAAATAGCCCAAAAAGCAAGTTTTAGTTTCTTGATGACTGTAATCACCGAATATCTTCCTTTTTCACGGGGAGGGTTCTATCAATCTCCTACATATTATAAAAATATTCGGTGCAATGTATATTAGTGGTCTTTGAGGCAATTAAATTCCGAGTGTGTCGTAAGTTTCTGAAGTGTCCATTTCCTAGGTCTTTGTTTCTAGTTTAATGTGAGGAATCCTGGTGGCATGTGATGAATTTCCATTTGTAGTGTAAATTATTTGAAACATTTACATATATTGAAGGAATTTCGTTGTTTATTTTACAGTTGAATGGAGTCAAATATTAGGAAAATGTTCAGCTTTGATCAGTACAACCATTAAGAGCAGTGAAGGTTTGTTACTTAATATTATTCTGATATATAACATTTTTTTTTAAAACCGTATTATTAGGTCAACTTAGATAATGAGTAATGTGCTGTATATTATGTATGTATATTAAATGTGCTTGCAAAATATTCAAGGCAGATGCCGCTATTATGTTTTTTTTATTTTGCCGAGTCAAACCGTGACATCCATTCAAAACCTGTCGGGGTAATACGTGCGGAGCTGGCGAAGAAAGCGAATCTTGTATATAGGTTTGGGGCAAGTTTGTATTTGTTCCTTGGAAGTCCAATGCCCAGTCATTAGCCATGGCGTGTACTATCACGATCTAATTTGACGAGTTCATATAGCTAACAAACTTCTACGGTTCTTTTCTAATTAAAACAAAAGACAAAACGACAATAGATACTTTACTAAGCTGAGACTAGGACTATAGTACTGGTGAGCCGTGGGTCGTGTTAAGGGCGTAGTTTTTACTGTATCACTGGTGATTCGACATCAATAACAAACCAATAGTATATTATAAACTAAATAAATGTCATACAAAACAGGAAAATGTTCAGAGAAGAGTACAGTTCACGGTTTGATCACATCACATAAATGACCAAGTAAAAGGTCTAAATTCACCTTATAAAAGATTCACCATACATATTCATTCACACAGAATATATATTGAGTTCACAATTCACCGTTATAATAAAGGAAAGTTGAGTGTCAACATCAAATTCATCGTGAAAAACGATATCAAAACCCTCATTACACACACACGAGGGCTTGGCTCACCGGTCACCAAGCGTCTGCTTTCACATCCTATAATAGTCAATCACCTAGCAACACGCGCTTCCACTCAGACACACTCGAACATCCAGACTCTCATTTACCGATTTTGAACATAACAAGGACGTATCAGCAAGAAAACAGACACTTTTAGAAATTCTCTGAAAGGTAAATGAGATTATCATAAAATTGATATTTATACGAAACAGTACTTCTTCAAAACCTTTTATTGGATATTCGAAACAACCAGTAAATTGGCACCTTTTCATTACGAAAAAAATAAATTTTCGGTCACAAAAGGACGTAAACGGTCAGAACTGGTTCAACATGGACAGGTTTTATTAATGGTTAATTCATTTATTGGGTTTCCAGTCTGTATATATAGTGGATAAGTCAATATTGTAATTGGTTGATATGGGATATACGGGGATTTGAGATTATCGCATGACTATAAGTGAAACAACTTCCTACTACTAATGTATGTTAGCCTTGTGATCAGTGCATTATTTCTTAATCACTGCATATACTAGGAAGCTTAGTCAGAAAAACATAAAGACAATGTTCCGTTCTGATAAGCGAGTCCGCTTTCACGAAACTTTTTTATATGATTATATGAATCACCTGGGTAAATATCATAGCATTAGAGGGATATCGTCCTATAAAGAAACAAACTCGAATTGGACGATCTTGGTTACAATAATACAATTTACGTCAGCTTTTTGTCAAACGGAGTAGCGGTTAGTGTCAAGAGTTTGTCACCATTTACATGTAAATGACGGTTATTTTTGGGTAAAACTTTCATAAATTAATTTTTCAGTGTTGAGGGACTTCCCAACAGAAACATGGTTTTATTCAACTGGTACATCTGGGTTAGTGTAAAAGAATACTTAGTACTGAATTGTAATCACCATGACCAAAACATGAACCAACAGGTGGTCCAGTCATTCAACGTATAATCATCCAAATACTAACAATGCAACGATTACACAGCGTGGATTCTGGATCCCAACTAATTCCTGGAGATGATGCTTCAAATCATTCTTATGCGTCTGTTGGCTACAAAAAAGTACGGGGGTTCATTAGGCCCGACAATACTAGGGCGAGACCACAAAGAAAAGAACTAGTTTGTACAGTAGTTGGGTTTTCTTTGGCTATTTTGGCAAGTTTCGCATCAGCTTATGTTTTGTACATATATTTGTCTATTTCGGTCGCTGAACCGATTTGTGTCAGATGTGACAGTCTTAACGGCAGCATACAATACCTGAATTTTGGAAAACAATATAAGAGTGGTAGTACATACTGCTGTACCAGCCACCCCAATCATCTTAGGAATGCTTTACACCAGGTATGTTAAAGTTGCAATTTCATATTTTTAAGTTATATTTTTAAAATGTATTAAAATAAAGCCTTAAAATAGATGGTATCTATAAACAGTCCTACCTTGTTAAAGAATAATCCTATTAATCCTATGATTCACTATTTCCAGTTGAGAAATTGACAAAAATATCATTTTCAACTTCAAATTCAAACGTTTGAAATTAGCTAGTCCATTGGGGGAATAGGGAAACAAGGGAGGTAATTGTGTTATAATTTCCGGTGTCAATGAATTTTAAGTGTGAGAAATAATGCCTATGATAGTATAATAGTGAGTTGACAACCTACTGAGCAAAAAGACATAGAAATAATTATGTTTTGACTTTCTTAGAAAATATGAAATTATCGCTTTATCGGGTAATTAGTATAACTTTATTAAAATAATATAAATTAAAAGTAGGGCCCCGAAATTGTTGCGAACAGACGAAATGAAATTTAAAACAGATTTTAATATTAGGATTATTTAATACCAGGGCTCAATTAAAAAATAAACAGGTTTCATAAGGAGTAAAAATTCGGTTATTTCCCGAATATATCCTGCATTATTTTCCGGGTAATTTAGTGCAAGAACGGTAACCAATAATATGACTTGAACATCCGTTGTATGGTTATGTTCATGAGGGATGGGGACTAAATCAAAAGCGTTGATACATCCATTATTTTACTGAAAAGAATTGTTTCGGCGAGGGAGACCGTTTGTTTAATATAGTACGCTGTCGATACACACATTTCTATACCATCAGTGGCCATTTTCTAATGACTTAACAAATCGACAAAAGCTGGTTCATAAATTATTCTTTATACTGGCAAAAAATATAAATCAGTTATACTAGTGACTTTATTTCCAAGAATACCTAGATAGTGAAAGTAGGGTATAACTCTGGAATTCCGGGGAAATACAATTTAATGTTAATCTTAACGAGAACAGGGTTAGTCGTATCAGTGTTGAAAGAATCAGGGTTAGTCGTATCGTTGTTTAAAGAGAACGGGGTTACTCAACGGGGTTAGTTGTGTCGATGTTTAAAGAGAACGGGGTTAGTCGTATCAGTGTTTAAAGAGGCGTTGTCAGTCTCATCAAGAAATATAAATCCTAGACTCACCCGTTATCATAGGAAATCAAATCTGTAAATCGGCAGTTAAAACATGTATCTCTCATCAAATGTTCTGTGTAAAATCTCGTTTGAGCATGTCCCTAGTATAAAAGAGAAATGGTACCAAAAAAAAGAAGACTGTTTTAGTCACCGCCTACAGGGAACGAGTTAATGTAAAGCTGGGAATGGTGGTAGAACTGATAATGTTACACCGGCTCTACCCTTCACTCTGTACATTCCTGTAAATTTGACTTCAAATTATTGCCTCTTCCAGGAACAATAGAACGATGTAGAACTATGTAGAATATAATTTTAAACTTGAAATTCATTTTGCGAGCCATGTATGAAAACAGATATTGCCTGGATAATTTTAGGATATAGTTTCCTGCAACATTCCTTTTAGGTAGTTCAAATATCCCACATGTATTCTGTTTTAATAATAAAACATAAAAATTGTTCATCCTTACGCTATTATTGCTTTTTATATAATTTATAAAGGTATTGTATGACGGGGAATTTGAGTCAAAAGTCAGTGTTGTTAGTTGTTGTTAGTGTTTTCACATACCCCAACCCTGCAAATGTGTAAATTTGACACAAATCGTGTTCAAACGCGGAAATGACCAAACAAAACAACCCCATCGGTTTGGTTTGAGACATTCTTTTTCTTTTATTGTGCATGTATAGTTAGAATCTATTTCACAGACCTATTAGGAAAACCTTCTAATAACTCTGTATAAGATGACTAACCTTTATCATCTTCAATAAAAAGCTTGATCTCGCTTTAACTCTGTACTTCTTACCAAGCCCTTCATATCCTGCTTATTTCGGCACTAGTTTCGATTGGCTACTGACAAAGTTGGGGGGCCTATAAGATTCCTTGATACCAACTCTCGCGCTTTCCAGGTAAAATGTTTACCTGCGATTATCGAGTTGCAAAGTTCAAGGTTTCCGTGGAGGTCGCCATGTTTGATTTGAGTGTTTGTGTTACAACCTCTGATTGGACGCTATCGTTCATGTGTCTGTGTTAAAGGGAGATAGCGTAGCTATATGTTCGGGAATTTCAGACCAGTCTAGCAACGTCTAGATGTTGTAAAACTCGCAGTCGTTGCTTCAGGAACATGGACCGTTATAAGTTCAAAATAGGTTGTCAGATCACGAACGTCAATCACTGGCTCCTGCTCCATGGCGCTTGCATTGTTTACATAAGACGTTGTAGCGTGAACTGGTCCAGGCAGAATGATGACTTTTACTCATTTTTATATACCCATTTATTCTAAATGGGAAATATTTTTTTTATCTAGATATACTTTAAACACCTTTATTTATTTTTCTCTAATACTTCAAAAAAAAAAGTTCTACAATAATTTAATTTGCAGAAGGATAAAAGTTAATATCGCGAGCTCATTAAGCCGCATCGATGTCATCCCTATCAGTGATTGTAGCGGCTTAGCGAATATTCACTGTTGATCAGTGTGGTATAGTTACTGTCATATTCTACTTCAACATCGCCTTTCTATTTAAACCTTGTTTATTGACTACAATGTCACCTTGAGACTAGATGTCTACTTTGAGTGGTTATAAAATATATTTGTATAGAACTTACTTTCCTTGTCATGTTGAGCCTTTTCACCCTCCCATTCATGCTTAAATGATTTTCTTGTGTATCGTTGTTTCTTTTGATAATATTGTAGGATGTCTATTTTGTAAATATTTCATTTCTTTACCAGTTTTTTTTAATTTACATGATGATGATCTAAATAATATTAACATGCCTGTCTAATTAGTTTTTTTGTTATAAAACTATGTTTCGCTCTTGGGATTGCTTAAGTTTTGTTTGTTTCGGATTTATTGTTGTCGTGCAGAAACTGGGCCCAAAGCGCTATACTCGTCTTGTTGCTGTTGTTGCTATTGTTCTTCTTGTCGGTGACGCGTTTAGAAAAAAATAGACAAATTAAGTTTACCATCTTCTATAACGCTTTCATCGTACTATTATTTGAAGAGGACTTTAGACAGCAGATATCCGAGATAACTTTCGATTAATAATTGTATTTATCATATAATCTGATATTGTTTATTGATATACATATCATACTTATCAAGTATCAACCTAGGTGCTACTGACATGACTTCCTTATTTACTTGTCACCTGTCACATTATATACTGCAAAAAATGCATAGGTGTTTACGAAACTACTTTCTTGGTGATGCGAGAATGGCTAACATAACTTTGTTGTTGATTGCGAATGACCGCGTGTGACTCCCAAATAATGATGCCCACAGATGATAACCATGCTTCAAAAGAGATAAAAAAAAAAAAACTCAACGAAAATATGATAATGATAATGTTTGCTACGAATTTGACCGCCCCGTTAGTTCTGATTACATGACGTCATTTGCTCTACAATTAACTGCTTTAACCATAGAAATATATAAATGTATTTCTATGCCCAATGTCCTACTTGTGATCTCATTTTCTCTCCATTTCACTTCACATAATAATTGTGTCAAAATGTTATACGTAGCGTATCGTGTCATATAAAAAGCTAATCTTAAAGTAAGTAACTTGCACAATACATCATCCGGGTTACATATAATGAAACAGAGACATATACACACGTTATTTAAAGGCGCCACGTCTTTAACTCACTATCATCCAGTCTTCGACATTGCAAACACGACTTATTGGTCAGTTTAAATCAACATTGATGTTGTAATCGTACGTGAAAAGATCGGCTTCTGATATCCAATATTTAAGACAAAATGAAAGTTTTAAAATTGGCATACGAATCGCGTGCCAGATTGCTTTCAAGCGCCATTTGTAATGAAGCGACTCGATGAACGAGGGCTAAACATATCCCACAGGAGATACTACCGTTGCAGACCGGAACAACCAGGGGCCAAAGACTGCTATTTAATTTAGACTCTTGGCGTATTTCACCGAACATTTGGGTCCATTTCTAGCTGGCAAGCAAGAGATTCAGCTCTTTTAAATAAACAGACTAAGCTTCAAATTTATCTTTTATGAAATGAAATGGGGTTTAACGTCCTACTGTTTGGCTTAAAGGGGGCAACGAAGACGGGGATACGCCATACAGGGTGCTATGAAAGGCATTTTGCCAGGACAGTGGCTACATTATACTCTTATTTCGTAATGGTTCTTTTAGGTGCACGCCATCGTGTACACGGGATATCGGGTTTTTGTTCCATCGGAATGACTAGGAGCTGTCCTTGCCCTCCATCATTCAACCCTGCCAAGGAGAGGCCGTGTCTCGAAATGCCGAGGAACGTTCGCAGCCAACACCGGGATCGAACCCTGGACCGATCTCCGGTTAGCGAGCCAGTGTCTTACTCACGGGGCCACCACGGCTAATGCCTGTTCAGAGTGTGGGTTCCCGCAATTATTCCTCAATTGGATTTTAGGGTCCTCTGCATCACTGATAGTCTCAATTAAAATTTTAAGAGTCAAATTGTTTGAAGTTTAATTGTTACCTATCAGTATCATGTGTTTTGTTTTCAGTCTGCGTCTAATCTCGATATTAAACATACTTTCTTTGAGCCTGAAATGTTATCTAAATTATTAATTAGACATTAATTAACTTATCCAGTCCATAATCCACTTTTCGATGCCATCGCTATAACCTGCATTATTTAGCGGACTGGAATACATTTTTTGAAAAATAATTAAAATGGATAATCGAGACTTTGGTTATTTTTATCGTACCGACTTTTGTAATGATGATCGAGTCTAGCCTAAAATTCAAAATCAGAGTGAAGCAATTTAACTGAAATTTCATAGCGAGAACTGCCAGCTCTTTATCTCATCTCCCATAATATCCCTTTAAGATTTGACTATTAATATTTTATGGCAGTATCAATTTAGATTCCATCATATATTTAACAAGAACACACATTTTAAAGAGAAGCCTTTTCACTCTTTCTTAGAAACTAAATTAATATAATTTATTTAAAAAATATCATCCATAAGATTACCATTGACTCACTAATCATTAAAACCACCTCGTGTACTGACCTTCTTATCGTATATTTGTTTTTTGAACGAGAGCCCCAGTATTTGTAAATTGAAAACTAAAATATCTGTGTTTCAGTCGAGGATTTGGGGAATTTGTCGAAATTTTGCATACAACTAAATTTCAACATATAACTTTATAGTTTAATCACGTTAAATATAAAAATATTTTACAAACGTTTAAAATACTTTATAGCTTAATCACGTTAAATCTAAAGATAATTTTACCAAGGTTTTAGTAACTCAAAGGTGCTTAATGTGTCTTTAAGCTTCGTTTCCTAATGTTCCAGTAATAAAGACTAGTAGTTAGAGACTAATAACTAGAACTGCGAAGCAGTAATGACGGGTTTCACCGGTGCCACGTTACCCTTGAACTTATGTCACTTCCTGTACCAATGAAACCGTTAAACAGGTTTCCACATAAGCATTGCACACATGAAATAAAATGGACGCAGAAACAACCAAATCCAGCAATCAATTCATTTGCTACATGTCAGTGATCCTGTCAAAATTACATTACTTCCGGTGATAATGAAAATGTTAAATTGGTTTATGAAATCAGAAATAGCATCATCACATGGTGAAAATTTTATGTAAATCCTATAATAATTGCCACCTTTATAGACCAAAAACCTTGAAAAATGACTTGTAGAAAATCGCCTATTTCTCTGCAACCGTACAAGTTAGAAACCATTTTGAGGTATCTGTATGATCGAATGAGTTCATTCTATTTGTTGATTGGAATCAAATATCATAATTTTAAAAACATTACAAATCTGATTCATTTGAATAAAATATCTGTTTTGAAGGCTAAAAATACAGTTTTTGCCAAAATGACGTTACTTCCGGTGATAATGAAAATCTTAAATTACTTGTATGAAATCGTAAATGGCATTATGTATCACACAGTGAAAATTTCATGAAAATCGAATAATAATTGACACTTTTATTGACAAAAAACCTTAAAAAGTGACCTGTTGAAAATTGCCTATTTCTCCGCAACTGAACAAGTTAGAAACCATTTTGTGATATCTATATGATCGTAAGGGTTCATTGTATTAGTTGATTTGAATCAAATATCAAAATTTTAAACAAATAACAAATATGACTCATTTGAATAAATTACTGGTTTCGAAGGCTATAAATACAATTTTTGCCCAAATTACGTCATTTCCGGTGATATTGAAAATGTTAAATTGGTTTGACCTAGTTAAAATTGACATTACACATCAAATGGTGTCACTTTTATGAAAATCGAATAATAATTGACTCTTTTACAGGCAAACTAGCGTAAAAAGTGACTCATGCAAAATTGCCCATTTCTCGGCAACTGCGCATATTACAAATTAATTTTCACATACATTCTCTCCGTACAGATTATTGCTACGAGTTTATGAAAGTTACGAAGTAATATTTTAAAATATGAAAACGCTGGATGGGTTGTAAATAGCTTAATTTTACACCTTTTTTCACCTTTTAATCGAAATAGCCCGAAAACGGAATCGAAATTAAAAAAACTGGTCCCAACATTTTGTGCGCCTTTAAAGGGCGCACAATTTCAGTTATACCAGATTTGAAAAAAATAATATTTGCTTTCGAAAAATGGTACCTAACTGTCAAAATTGTAGTTTTTTGTCAATTTACGCCACTTCCGGTGCCGACAGATAACACTATTGGTAACAAACAAAATGACAATTGAGACAACGGAGCATATGAACTTTGTTTTATACAAATCGAACAATAAATAATTAATCTAGGACTGAAAAACTGAATTAGCCAATGGGGGCCAAGGAAAATTACCGAAACAAAAATTTTTCACATTTTTGCCCAAGTCAGATGACTCGTTATATTTGTGTAAAACACGATT